GCCAGTTTTCCAATGTAGATGTGCCAGTTTTCCAATGTAGATGTGCCAGTTTTCCAATGTAGATGTGCCAGTTTTCCAATGTAGATGTGCCAGCTTTCCAATGTAGATGTGCCAGTTTTCCAATGTAGGTGTGCCAGTTTTCCAAATCATTTGTACAGTCTCCGGATCAGACCCCATCGATGTGGCAGATGATCTCCTAAATGTCCTTTTTGTTGTCATTTTTGTACAAGTATCGTTTGGTTTCTCCCCAGTCAATTAGACTGGCTCTAGTGTCCAAATTTACCCCTCATCCCTTGTAAATGGCAAAGCTACCAATGTACAAATACAATGTATGCATGTAGAGAACACATGTAATCTGTTATCAATAGATTGTGATGAAATTTTAAGTCTCCTCCCACCGATTTCCAAGAAATCACAATTTTGAATGAAAAATAATATTTACCATTGTAGGTTATCTTTTTTAATTTTCAAAATCATTTTTTGATATTTTATTGCTTGCCCATGTTACTTGTCTCATTTCCGCCCATTCATGAGGTAATGCAGTTGGGTATACCTCAAGTTATCATTGAACACGGGACCATACCAGGCCATACCAAAATAAGTTGTCCATCGATGTTTCAAACTGACCTTACTGATAACGTAATAAGTTGTAAAATCCTCAATTATAACCATGGAAGATGTGTTAATCACATTTCTACTGTAGCTTAGAACTACAGTGATTCTTTAATAACATTTGATGGAAATAGATTGAATGCACACCTGACTTGAAAAAAAAAAGAAAAACCTATTTCTTCGCATTTCCATAGCTTTCGACCAATGGAGGAAAATTTATGCCTGAAGTCTGCCTCATCTGCAATTAGCATTTCAAATAATCTCTCAGATGGCTCGGCATGTACCATTTGTTCACTTTCTGGTCCAAATTCTAATGAGATTTTTAACTGCTAGGCAGGATTCACCGGTGGAACAAATTCCGTGAACGACAGCTGTTAGATTTTCCCCTCACAATTTTTTTTGCGCTCAACAGGAAAGCATATAATTCTTGTCGTAATGGGCAACCTTTACTGTGGGTGCCCAACCTGCGTGTAGTTGATTGAAGTTGGCCACCTCGTAAATGTACCAGCAGAAATGACATGGCTCTTCCCGAGATAATTGAAAAAAACTGACCGCGTCGCTGTGCAACTTCAGGAATTATATGTTTGAATATAATTATTATAGGTGAAGCGAGGACATCATTCTCATTTTGTCATAAATTTGTTGAATTTCTTATGATTGTACATGTACCTCACTCAGGAAATTTTTAAATTGTGGAATCTTCCAAGTTATGAAATGGGCATAGAAGATTTCTTGTTAAGGTTACCAACTGATAAAACTGGACTGTGTTGTACATGTACCTACAAAATCAAGTCAATTAGGAAAAAAGTGCTGAAGTGTCAACACAAAAATCATTTCATGATCTTTCGATAGCACCCTTGAAAAATGATTTTGAAATAAAGGAAAACCTTTAAAACAAATGCGATGTCATGTACCCATATTGCCATGTGTGTTACCAAGAGATTCTCCTGTTTGTTATTACTGAGAAGAAAAGGAGTTTCAACTTCTTCACCAGAATTTTAACAACCATCCCCTCTCCTTCAAATCATCATTTTCATCCATTTAAATCAGAAATCCACACCACAGACTGCTGGTTTTAACACTGGCCCATTGCCACCTGAATTTGGTCTGTTGATTTTTCATTCACTCAACACAACCTTCCAAGGACATCATTGAAAAATGCAATAATCCATATTCAAGGGGCAGAGTCTGGTTGTAGTGCCTGTGACCTCTGAACTTTAGTCAGACTTGGGGGGGGGGAGCAGATGATGAGAGAAACAGATGGCCGTGGGAAAGGTTTATCATAATTATTGGTGCTGACTGCGTGAAATGCATATATTTACATGAACTTCTATTTCTGGCATACACTGTGGTTCTTATTTGCGTTCATGCTTGAATGGGTGCTATTGTATTATCATAGATGGCGTGTTGTGGAAACCAAAAGTCCCAAGGGGCTTCTATGCACCATGCACATGTACCTACATGTACATGTATACTACACGTCTGTTTACGATGTGGTAACAAGACTGTAAGTGAGAAGCAGAATAACCCTTGAGCAAATACGTGTCGTTGATCGACCAGGCACCCTGAAACTGCTTTCAGTATTGTTCCCTGTCTTGAATCTGTGTGACTTTGGCATTGTGAGCATGTCTGCTGGGAAATTTCTGGGCATCCTCCAACATCCAATACTGTCCAGTGAGCCGATGGCATATTCGTTGCGCATAAAAACATTGGAACCTTAAACCAATATGTGAATGGTTTTGAATTTCACTGACTTCATCATTTGCTGTAAGAGCCAGCTGCTTGATTTCAGCAGCTGCAGTGAACACATTGTTCCAAACGGAAATGCCTGCTCAAAGCTTTGATCTTTGACCCTGTTAAAAGCACATTCTTCAAAACTCAATTGGCCTGAATGTTGTAGTCTTTATTCTGGAGGATCACAAGGCCATGTGCAAGACCAGTCACAAGTTAACTGAGTGAAAAGTGACGAAGGAATGCTTGAATTGCTGTTCATTTGAAGAAACTTGTGACTTGAATTCAGACTGGAGGCCTTGTGTTGGTCATGTGATAGTCTCTATTATTAGTAATTTTATTGTTTATTTACAAACATTCAAACTTTGCAGCCCAGAGGATGAATTACATTTGAATTGAATTGAATTGAATTGGATTTACAAAATAAACATTAACCCGAACACTCCCAAATCCTCCAATTTTAATATGATTTTACATACACCCTAGGGAGTTAGGGTTAAATAGAAACAAACATCAAATAAGTATATTATTACAACATTTCTACAAATTACATCCAATATTTTATTACATTAATTACAATATCATTTCATTCAATTGTACAATTACAAAAAGAAGGCATAAACATGGGGGAAAATACATTTACTGGTAGAGTACCAAAGCTACACTCTGCATGACGTTTACAATGAGCACCAAAAAACACAAACCCACTCAAGGACAAATCAGGGAGGATGATGTACCAACCACACTTCAAAGGTCCATATAGTAAGGGATTAGGCTGGTTTTGAAATGGTGTGCTGTAGTTCTAATGGTAGTGATGCTTTTACTGTTTCCAAATTCCTACCATCGTTTTCAAGCCTAGAAAGGGGAAACAATGCCTTGGTATGGGGATTGGGCAGGATCTTTTTTTGCAAAACTATTTGAGATCGGTTTGAGGTGGAAGGTCTTCATGAGGTTCTTCCACAGTGAAAATCAGTGGGAACCTTAAACATTTTTTCACCATCGCAATCAACAAAATTTTCCCCAATGCCAAACTGAGTGATACATCAAAACAAAGAGCTGATGTTTGTTTTCTATAGAGGCTTTGCGTGGTGGCCATCTTGCAGGGCACCTTTTTTCGTTCCACAGGGTATGCACAGAAGAGAACTGCCCCGCAAGATGGCTGTCATGCGCAAAGCCTCCATTGAAACAAAATTACTGAAAAATTGGGCCTCAGGACCCATGTTGTGGGATCTAGTCACATTTCTTGAATTGTTACCAATGTTGATGGAGTGGTTCTATCATCTTTCCCTTCCCCAAGATGCCTTAGAGGCTGAGACATTGACCCCATCTTTGGCCCCCTGTGAGCTGCGAGAGACCTGCCTCCTTCCTCTCCGGCTAGCCCTGGAATCCAAGAGCAATAAGCTGGCTGCTCATGCTGTCACTGGCTTACAGGTACGTGGCGAGCTGATCAATATGCTAATGAGTATTGATTATTAATCAAACATGCATTTACCTTTCTTCTGTTGTATCGATTTGGAATATTTGAAACAGCCAAGAGTAGGATGTGTACATCCAGAGTAGAGTTTTCAACCTTTTCTTTTTCTGGATTACACGAACTTGTCAGGAATTACTGTGTCACGCTTAGTGCTGTGTTGTAAAGTTGAGTCCATCACGAGTCCCTGCAAGGCCATCACAAGTTGGCCAGTCTTCAGCCGAGTCACAAGCTATTCAAATGAATTCTGACGAGAGAATGCATTCACCCTGTCACTTAGGACTGGTCTGGCAAACGGACTTGAGACTGGACATATTGGTGAAAGCATTAGAGATTGATTGATTGATTGATTAATTGTTTGCTTGATGGATGATGTCACAGAAGCTGATCTCGGATGCCCGCTTCCAGTCAGACCCTTCCAAGGATGACGAGGAGCACCGACTACCCCTACAAGTGCTGCAGACGGTGGCAGCATCCCCCCAGCTGAATGAAGAGATGCAAGTGGAGGTCATGAAGGTATGTGATAGCTTCAAGGAAAATCGTAGCCAAGAAAATCTTTTTCAATTTGTGAATAACTTTTGAGATCACTCTGAGATGTGGCGTTCATCCGCTGTGAACAGAAGCACCCCCTCATCGGTTGAAAAGAGCCATATTGGTCGGCAGTGCTCAGTTTGTTGGTAGCGATGCAACCATAATGCGTGCATTTAAGACATGTAGTTGTTTGAGAACCAGTGAAGTGCAGTTCCTACCAAAAGAGCCTGTGTTGCTTGGAGAATTGCGCCCTCTCTTGGTCCAGCTCAGGGCTCATTGTGTGTTGAACAGAATAGCATAGTTTGCTCAAATCATACATGCACATGTAGTTCAAGTGTCAGTTTATGACTGTAAAAGGAATGATCAGTCATTTTGCTATCCATTGGGTAACACATGCATAATTCATTAGTGAATATTAATGTTGCATCTTGTATCCAATAGATTCTTCAGACAGTGATTGCTCCGCCTCCTGCTCAGTCAATTCCTTGTCAGTCATTAAGGTGTAACTGTCATACTTGCATAATTAATTTGCATATTCAAGCTGTATGTTGTGTCCAATAGATTCTTTTGACAGTGACATGCTCCTCCTCCTGCTCAGTCAGTTCCCTGTCAATCATCAAGGTGTCAGAGGTCAGTTTAATTTTAGAAGATATTACTTTTGCAGTTGTTTTGTATGTAAAGAAAACCGCATGCAACCCAATCAATTGTCAAAATCTACCATCTAGTCCAAATATTTTAAATTTATTCTGCTTAATTTGTAAATTTCTTTGATGACATTTTCATGTCCATTGCACTTTATGATATTTTCTTCCACAGTGTTAAAATGTCAAGGCCTTTTCAGACAAGAAATTTTTCCCTGATTGCTAATTAGTTGAAATCCATTTCAACAGGTCATGGCTCTTTATATTAAAAAAGGCAGTCACTATCTAGACAGCTCATTGGGTGCCAAACACATATTCTTGATTGTTCTATATCACGTCGTTAAGTTTCAGAAACCCTACAACTCCAAATATGTGGCTATTGAATTGGTGACTGGAGCATAAACATGGATTCAACATAATGGAGTTGTACCGTCTTGTAACATAAATACCAAATATTCATGTTACATTACCATGTATACATTTTCTTGTTGCCTCATGTAACCGACTTAGAAACTTGAAATCAAAGAGTGCTATTACCATCCTCTTAAAAAACTTGGTTAAATTTTTCAAGGCACATATGATGAAAGTGAAATTCTTCAAACATTTTGTTTTTTAAAACATGTAGCCATGCAGTGGTTAATGAAATGTCATAAACCGGAAAAAAAAAAACGTGACTTCCCTCCCAACAGTTTTGCCTAACGTCGCATAACCTTGGTAAGCAAGACATTCTCAGGGCCTGCCAAATCACGCTTCTCCAGATAGTCAGTATCCTGGCCCAGAATGCAACGCTACAGTTGAAACAGGTAAACAGGTTACTGGTTGGTCGAAGGGGATCACCGGTTCACTGAAAGCTGGTAACCCTGTGGTTCGTGTCATGCATGGTTGCAATGGTGCTGCATAACATCAGCTTGCCGGTACTTGTTCATAACGTCACACTCATTTTAGTTTTTACTGACCTGAATGTGGAGATGTATAATTCTGTTAAATGGGACATCTTGCACTTGTGTCAACTGTTGTTTTGTTGTCAATTTGTGAACTTTTTCTTTGCTTATTTAACCATTCTGCATGATTTACGCAGACCGGCCCAAAGCCTTTGCGACAGGTAACGCTCTCGTAAACCACATTTTGCACCTCCGAAAGGCACGTTGTGACGAATAATTTACACATGGCACTCAACTGTTTCTTATTTCACAGTGTAAACACTTTGACTGACTTCCAAACTCTCGCAAAATCTTTGAACATTCAAGGAAATTTTATCACTTAGAAATACCCAAATCTTGTTGACCCAGCCCTACTGACTGCGCACCGGCACTAACACGAGAATCTTTCTTTGCTGTGCTTTTGTGACTTTCATAAGCACGCCTTGCATTAGTTTTGCCTTTTTTGGTTTCCCCTTTTCTTTGATCAGTTTACAAAGATGGATACAGTTATTAAACCTTTTCAGTACTTGACACACACTTGGGCTCCCTGTCTCAAGTTCTTTTATAACAAAAACAAAAAATGGAATCACGAAGGCCCTCTTTTTTTTTTCAATACCACAAAGATGTGTTTTTGCAACCCGGACATTGCTCCATGAAATAATCTTTGCAGATGGAACTTGCAGCTGTTCTTTGAGCTGCAGCCCCAAATGGTCACGCTACCCAAATATTGCCCTGCGAAAATAATCTTCAGGGCCAGAGTATGCAACTGTTGTCTAGCCGGGAAATTGTATTCGTTCTCCAAATCTGGACCCAGCGTAGAAACTGATGATGTTATGTGTGCACGGTGCAGAAAACCTCAGAACAAAATTTTCGTCAGAATGAGCACAACATTTCTCATCTCAAGACAGGGGTGTCTGAGCATGTGTTAGCATCTTTCACGTCTCTGTCACTCATTGTTGAGAGATACTTCTGCTCGTCACTATCCAGAGCCTTTTAAAGTGTTGCTCAATTCTGAACACTTATACTGTTTTGACTGTGAAGCTTTCAAGGGCCCATTGGTAGACTAGGAGAAAATTGACTCGTAGCCACTCCTCAGAAAAACAGGTGTCGTGTTATCCTACTGCTTTTTCATGGAGTACATGTACTTCGTACCGAGTGGAATAGTGACAATAACCATGAATGTTGATTTGATGCAGGCTTCTTTGTATTGGTTGGCTTAATATATTAAGCATTTGGTGGTGTTTCTCAAATATAATATGCTTTTACTTTATTTTGAGTGCTCTTTTAACACATTAAAAATAAGCGAATCTCATTATTGTTTCAAATTAAGTGGTTTTGCTCAGAAAATGTCAGATTTTCCTTTGAATCACTGACAGAAGTTTTCATGACATTCTCCGATCTGTAATAACTTACAGTACTTGCCACTCACATGTGATCAAATGTGGATGGACTATAACTGAATATCTATGCGTAAACTTTGGCACAAATATGTGAACAAAATTTTAGTATTAGTTACTTTTTATCTCCTTCACGCTGTTTTACGCAACGTGGCTCTAGCATGCACTCAAGTGGTCAACTGATGTACAAGCTTGCCTCGAGTAAACTAGGGCAGCCATTTTGGCTTAACTGTGCAATAGGCTGGTCAGGAAAACGGCTAGTGGAAAATCTTCATTTGATAGAACCTCGATTTGCACTGGCACTTAGTATCCAACTTATGTTCATTGTTCCATCGACACGTTAATTTGGGCAACTGTTGTGGAAGAAATGACTGTTTGTTTTTCACTGAAATCACTCATACATGTGCACAGTTGAAGGGCGCTTTCCTTGACATTTATACTTGGAATCACTGTTGTGTGTTTTCTACAAAAGCTTTAGTCTCATACAGCAAGTTTGGAATTTTTGTTGTAAATTTCTGATCGTGAACTAGTTTGTTGTTGATTTCATTTGTGACTCATCCTGTTTGCCTCTTTGTAATTGACTGCTTTTTGGAAGAGCAGGGCACATTTCTGAATTGGCACAGTAAAGGCAAAATCACCTAAACTGTTCCTTCTGGTTTAAAATATTGTTTTACTAAAGTTAATGTTTCCATTCACCTTATGCTTTTTATAACCAACCAGTACTCAAGCACTGGGTATACATTATCATGAATATGGGTAATTCCAGAAATTAGGGGTCCAAAAGTGTGACATTTTTGTGTCCCTGTTACATCTGACTTTTTGTTATTTGACATGGAAATATCACCGGAAAATGATTTCCAACTATAACTATTTGTTTGGCAGGTAATTTGCATGAAGTCATCACTCTTTGAAATTAGAAAATGTGTTCTGAACTTACAAAATCATGTGTCAGATGTGGCAGGGACACGAAAAAAAATGGACCCCAAATTTGTGGAATTCCCCACATACATCAGTGTATTAAGAGCAAAACCTGTAATTCAAAAATTAATTTCTCCCCGGCGCAGAGTACATCGTGACATGCAACCAGCTTTTTGTTTTACTTTCTGGAATATGACCTGAAAAACAATTGAATCAATGAAGAATGTGCATTTCTCCCGCCAGAAAATCCTTTTTTTTAGTTGACTGCTCTTTCATTGGCTTTGTTTTTAGTTTGTTTCTTGTCGCGTTTTGTTTTATTTCCTTCTGTTTTATGTTTGCATGTGGTAGCTATGCATGGAGTGTTTTCAGCACAGTCCGCATGCCGGGGTCCGCGCCATATCGACCCTCACCATGAAGCAGGCCCTAGGGTCATTCAGTCACACTCACTGGGACGTCGACCAATCAGAAAGCGAGCAAGAAACCACGGTAACAGTGTCACTTGCATGCCTTTGAAAGAATGCGGTGGCCCCCGTCAATGGTGGCACACATCGAGATAACTATTGCACAGAGCCACTGTTCTGTGACAGTCACTCCAAATACAAACCCAACTCAGTGATTGCCGCCATTGAAGGGGGCCACCTGGAATGTGCAGTGAAGCATCGCTGGATTTGTCTGTAGTTTAGTCCATTTTGAATTCTTGGCTACACCGAGTGTTGTTACGAATTCGTGTTTTTTAAACAAGGGTTCTCTCTGAGTTTATCATCCTTACAAGCTGGCAACAATATGTTATGACTTTGGCAACAATATGTTATGACTTTGGCAACAATATGTTATGACTTTGGCAAGAATATGTTATGACTTTGGCAACAATATGTTATGACTTTGGCAACAATATGTTATGACTTTGGCAACAATATGTTATGACTTTTTGGCAACAATATGTTATGACTTTGCTTGAAAACAAGTTTGTAAATTTTGTGTTGTCACTATTTGTCAATAATTAAAAAAAAGAAGAAGGAAGTGAATCACATTATTAGTAGGTTTTTCTACTGGACTCAAAATGGTTATTTGTTGAATATTTTGCGATGGATTTGATTGAGACCCTCATTGAAGAATTCATTTCAAAAATTTGACCACCAGTAGAACTACTTTCCATGTAGTTGAACTGTAAACATTGTAGCGTTTTTGTTTTATTAGTATTTTTTAGGAGAATAGTAATAAACCTTTTGTGAGTTAAATTTGAATAAAATCTGGTACACCAAGTTCTTGAAATTCACATGAACATAATTTGAATTCTCCACGCTAAAGACACTGTTGCTCTACCTCGTGAATCAGGGAGTGCTCTTACTTAGTTACAGAAACGCCGTGCACCAGTTTTCAATGGATAAGAAGGGCACAAGGGAACCAGTCCATTCCAGAGATGGTGGTTGCTATGCGAAAGCTTGCCCCAAATCATGAGGTACTGTATAGCAACAGTCTCTTTCCTCTGAGGAATTCAAATAGTTCTGTTCAAGTGCAATCATTAACTCAGTGTACCAGATTCTATTCAAATAAACTCGCAGAGGATTATTGAAGGTAACATATCGGGATATTTTTCATGACGTATTAGACGTTCTACTAACTGTTGCATGTGTCCTAAAATGCTGTGTAGCCTTGCTGCTTATTAACTCTCTGTCCTCTTTTGTTTTTGTTTATGCTAACGTTCATGAAACAGCAGCAGGATACAAGAACAGAAACTGCAGGTTTGTACTGTGTTTTGTTCTGCGTCTGTTTCATGTGTGCACTAACTTTTGTTTTATGTTGGGTTGTTTGCTAATAGAATCCTATTTGTTTGGTTACTTCAAGAACACATAAGTGACAGATCTTGTTGCTGTTATTGTTTGTACATTAAAAAATAAAGTTCAAATGTTAAAAAGATGTCACTTTGAGAAATGTTGGGCCATTTGGTTTTCTATATTTTCTCTCGGTAGCTTTGGTCCACTGTTTTCTCGCATATGAAATTCCATGTGGCAAATTTTATGTCTTATGGAAGTTGTTTAAAAAAATCACCAGACAAACCGGTAGTTCATAAAAAGCAGTGAACGTACTTAAGAATTGAAAGCTGGTAATCAATCAGTCAGTATTACTCCTGGAACTACTCGGTTCGTGTTGGGTCTCCAAACAGCACAGATGTCATTTTGTAACTAGAAGTGGACAAACAAATCCATTTTGCCATCAGCATTGATTGTGAATAATTTCAGGCAAAGACTGTGAACACGGATGATGTTAATTTGTAACCAATAATTGTTTATCTTGGTTGAAAATTTAGTTTATAGCAAATTTCCTAAAATTGTTTTGCAAACTTTGTGGTGTTTTTTTCTTAGTTATAAAAGGAGTAACAAATCATATGTACCTTGTGAACTGTTTGCACATTCCTAGAAGCAGTTTCTCACTTTAACACATTGTGTTTTATTGTTTAGTAAATACACATGTATTTTGTTTCTGTAACAGCAAAACTCAACTTTGGTTTCAGGCACATCTATAAATAATATCAACAATTCAACTTGATTTACTTATTAACTTCTGTCATCAGCTGTTGAGATTTCAAGCATCGTTTATTTTGTGCATACTAAACATCAATTAATCTTGCGACTTTGTTTTTTGTTACTGCATGGCGCTTCACTGGAATTGTTTCAGTAAGTTGCATTTGTTGCTTCATTCACACTGCTTGTTCGCCTGCACATAAAAAAACCAAAATGGATTGTTTGTAGTAGACAGTTCTCACGACTGTTCACTTCCCCGGAGGGGTTTCAAACTCTTTATCATTTCTCCCGAACCAGTTTTGTATATATGAGTTTCTTTTCTAAAGCTGAAATTTAAGGACAAGTTCAAGCGATGCTTTTTTTATACTTAACTACAGTTCGACTAACACTGCCCGAACGATGGATGGTTTGGACTATTTAGACGATTTTTGGTACCAGGCCCCAGGGGTATGGTCACACTGCTGGTTATCAATAACAGATTTCTTTTATCATCATGGAGGGAACCATTCACATGAAAATAATTGTAGATTTCAAAAACCATGTACGCTGCAAGATTTGCAGCCAATGATGCAGTGTGACTAACAGTGAGATTTTTTAAAAAGGCCAACTAGGGTCGTTTGAGGTAAAAGAATTGCGCGTGCGCATTGTTAAAAAGTATCTGACTACTGGTCAAACGATAGTTTGCGCCTGAACTTTTCTGCCCTACATAGTCATATAATTACGCATGTGTTTCCAAGTGTGTTTTTTCAACTTTGTGTCCAGTTTCATGTGTTGTACATTCTGCCTGTAGAGGGTTCAAAACGCGTCTTCAACGGGGAATTGGGCTTTGGGGGAGGAAGACAGTGGCTCCTCCCCCCGTTCCATAGAAATCGCTTTAAACATGAGAGCAGGGCTCATTCTGCACAGCTGCAGTCAAAATTTGTTTTTCACTGTCATGTTTATTTTGCTTTGAAAACAGACAACAACATCATCCCCGGCTCAACGTTAGACCCCCACGAAGCCTTTGTTCAAGTGCTTCAGTATTTCTGCTCGAAGCTCAACGAATCCCAGAGGTAACAGACGCAGACTCTTTGAGATGCTGCAGAATCCTCCACTGTGCTGGAAACCAGTGGCACAAGGGGTATCATGCCCCATGTAAAACAACAGCGGCTTAGGTCTATCCTTCCACAATCTTACAAAAGTCTAAAAAAAAAACTAGTGCCTTTGGAAGAATCCTGGTCAAGTAGATGCATATATTTTGAAAATAATGCTGCAGATTTAATAAGAATCCACGGCTTTGTATGTTTAGAGATTTTCTTATGTTGCACAGGCCCAGAGTGACTTATATGTGACCTTGTCCTTGCAGATAAAAGAGAACTATTAGGCAAGAAATGTTGGGTCCCTTTTAAGATTTTAGATAAGAGTTGAACGCTTTTCATCTCTATGTTTAGGCTCAGAAAGACATTGTAAAATGATTTTTCTTCAATTCCAATATGTTAAGAAATGTGTCTGTCCCACAGAGCATCACAAGGTCACCATGGCAACCAGAATCAGCCCCTCCTGACTCTTCAACTAGAGGCCGTTTTAGCGATGCTGAGTAATGCCGGCCCTGAACTCAGGCAGAGCGATATCCTGGTCAGAGCAATCTGGTGAGTGAGTTGTAACATCCCTGCTTTATGATCAGGTCAAGGTCTTGTGGCAAAGAAATTCCTTTGCTGGGAAGAATGTTTGAATAACAAGGACCAGCCGTCACTCCTAAAATGGCACAGTGGAAGGAATTGTACCGGTTTTGTGAAGTTTGGTTGTGAAAGGCATGATTGTTTTTTCTTTCGTTTACCAGGCAGCAGCTTTGCCCCTGCCTCATCGCCATCCTGGGCATCCCGCGGGACGAGAAGTCCATCGTCTCCTCTCATCACCCCACCCCTTCTGCTCCTTCATCCTCCTCCCAACATCCCGAGAGCGGCCACACCCCTCACGCGGGCCTCCAGGATCAAGGGCGTGGCTCAGGCGGGTCGGCCACCGGTCCTGCCACAGGGAACTCATCAGCCAGAATTGTCTACAGTATCGCCACGGAGCTGGTGCGGCTAGTTGGGAGCCTGGAGTCCATGCGGCCGGTACTCGGCTCGCTGTTTCACAGGATGCTGCTGTACCCTCCCCCGGTGCATCGCAATGAAGCCTTAAAAGTTTTGAAGGAGGTATAAAAATGTTCGTTAAAGTAAACAGATTGACATCTGGATGAAATTGTATTAACATGCTGTTAACAATTAAACCAAAATGATTAATTGGGCTTAAAGGTTTTTCGCAAACAATTTTATGCAGATGTTGGCCACACCTGAGCGTATAGTGGACTTGGCTGGTCCTGCCACCATTGACCGAGAATCTGAGAAAGGTGCCATTGGGAAGGCAGGGAACAAGACCAGGAGCACTGACATGGACCTGCTGAAACTGTAAGAATCGTAACGATTCTAACGTTTATGATATTGTGGAAAACTTGTCAGAAATAAATTGAATGTAATGGTGTCCTTGCTTATACATTGTTTGCAATGTACATGTGTTTGTGGTACTGCAAAGTCTTCCAAGTGAGATTTTATGATCTTGTTTCCCTAAGCAAGATGCTTTACCACAATTACTTATCACTGCAATCACTGACCATTACGGCAGTCATTGTAACTCTAAAAATCTAACAGAGCACATAACTTGCCAAATTTAGAATGCATTGTTGTGGTTTTTTTTTTACACGCAAAGGTTAATGGATGGCATATCGGGCGCGACCCAGTCTCGCGACAGTGCAGTCTGCCTGTCCAGTGTGGCCTGTGTGGGGGCGCTGTTGTCCTCGTTGGACGAGATCAGCAAGGGGAAAGGCCTGAGCGAGCAGCAGGTCGAGCTGATCTTGAGGAGAGCCAAGGAGGAACAGGGGCAAAATGGTGAGCGTAGGAATCACTGTCAGTCAGAAGGTGGTGGCTTTGGCTATTCAGAATTGACACACTACTGTAGTAAGCCTTAGCCGCAGTCAGAAATGAAAACTTCTGTTGCGCCTATGTGTAATATGCCTTTTTTGTGTTTTTTTTTGGAGATCCAGCATTAGATACTAAGTTGTTTCTTTGATCAGGTTTTTGAGACGCTGAAGTAGTCTGTTTTGTTTTTTGTAATTTTTGGAAGAACCTCCAGAATGTATACACCATAAACGTACCCTCGGTAGTTCAGAGTTAACTGGAACTAGAAGAAAAAAATGGACTGAAATAGTTTTTACAAGTCAGAAAATTGAGCATTCGGTGAACAGAAACCCTCTGCTAGTAATTATTACAAATACGCTTCTTTTATCTCAAGTTTCTTTTTTTATTCTATCACCAGGCAACATAGAGACAAAAGATCCCCTTGTGTTACAGGCGCAAAAATTGGAAAGCAAAGAGGATTTACCAAAACCTGAACTGATTATTTTAGGCAGGAAAGAGAAATCTAAATCAGGGGACGGAGAAGTAGGAAGCATGGAGGATGAAGAAGGAGATACTGACATTCAGGATTTTAGGGGAGACGACAGTGAGACAGGAGAGGAGGCAAGGCCTGAGGAGGGCAAGGCAGCAACAGAAGGAGAAGAGGAGGTGGGGATTTCTGTCTCCGAAGAACCGATCGAGGAGGAGGTGCATATTGCCGATTTGGGTTACCATAGCAACTTGGACAGGATCAATGCCAAGGACGATTCACAGGCAGCAGTCGAGGAGAGAGGATTGGACACAGACAAAGTTGGAAGTAATGACGTTGATGGAAGAGCAATGGAGGAAGGCATCTCGGGAGACAGGAGCCAAGACATAAAGGATGCAGCCACAGTGGAGGAAAGTGCCAAACAAACAAACTGGAAGCCTAACAGGGATGCGGATGGAGATTTGGTATCCAAGATGGCCACCGCAGCAGCGAACGAGAGCCACGTCCTCACTTACTCCCAGGACCAGACAGGGAGCGAGGACGCAGAAGACCAGTCCTCAGCCTCCCCACCCTCCTCCAGCTCCTCCTCCTCCCCGCTGCTGTTGCCAGAGAGGATTCTGGCCGAGCGCCTCCTGGCAGAGCGGCAGGAACAGAAGCGGGCAGAGCTGGAGCGCCACGCACAGCAAAACCTGGAGCGGGAGAGACAAGGGGCGCGTGACTTCGCCAAGGCCTTGGTGGCACTGTTGCCCTCTGTCATACCGATGATTGACGAGGTGGAAGTCGATGTGGAGCTGCAGAAATTCGCATCCACATTCGTTGCAGGTGTGAAGAATTCCGGTCCATTAATTGCAACCCAATTCTTTTCGAGTCATTACCGTCCAAGCTTTCAAGTTTCTGAAACCTTTAATACCGCATAAAGTAATTATCCCTTGAATAAGCTTCTTAGTTTAAAATCCGATATTGCTTGCACAGGATCCCAGAATTGAGACTAAGTCTCGCCTTCACAATGGCCATCATCTTGACTTTTGCTGCTGCAGGAATTGGAAAGTTTCATTTTCTTTTGTAGCCGTCGTATTTAATCAAAATAAATTAGTTTGGATCTCACAGCAACTATCTGCTATGCTAATACAACTCCAGAGTTTGTACTTACCAAGCCTTCCTTAAAAGGTTCAGTGCATTAAAACCCCTTTTGTGGTTAGAACTACTGGTTTGTACAGTGTGCCACTTTGATCAGGTTTCGTTGTATCATTCAGGGCATTCTTTTCGCAAGCACAACCCAGACAAAAGCTCGGAAGACGGCATGACGCTAGACATGACCCCGGTCATCAATGCTGACGGCATCTACGTGGCCACGTACTTAGGCCTTCTGCTTAACCTGAAGCTGATACGGTGCGGCCACTACCAGAACCCCGGCCAACTACCCCAGACCAAAGTAAGCCACAACAAATTTCTCACCCAGCATTCAGCGAATTTTCCCAAATAACCAAGTAAACCTTGCCCTTTTTTGGGCCCGAAAAATGTTTGAGTTGACGGACTCGGAATGACGCATAAATCAAAACGTGCTAGTTATTCAGCCTCAATTGTCATTTTCCTGAGCAGAATCAGTTCATCGAGAGCATCCTGGACTGCGGCGTGCTGGTCTACCTGTCGTCCGCCTGGCTAGGGGAGCTGTACCAGACACTCATCGCCAGGGACCTGTTGGGGGAGGCAGGGTACAAGGCCCAGTCCTTCCACTGCAACAAGGCACTCATCTCAATGCTTACTGGTCAGTGCTCCTACCCCCCCTTCTCCCTGCATCCCGTAACCTCCCTCTCCCTTCTCGCTATACATTCCTTTTTTCTTTTTTTTTTCACAGTAATCTTAAGCGTTCCACATGCTATTGCTTTTGCTCAATTGGAGACGGAACTCATAGTTGTCGTCATGCTTCCATTATTAGCGATAAGGGTCTTCCGGTTGGCTAAGTCCACTTCACAGTAGATCTGGTGAGGTCCCATTAAGACCAAGGAGACCTATGATGAGATAGATCATAACCGTGTAATTTGAAGGTTGGCCTTTGCATTAAACTTCTCCGGAACTACCAGATATTTTGATCAGTTTTAACTCACTCCCTCTGCTCTTAAATGGACTTTAGACCACCTAAGCCATGTATGTATGTGTGTCTTGAATTTGAAACGAGCAGGGCCTAATTTCTACTTACCGTAGAATTCCACGCTTACGATCTTCATTCTGCGCTAACCTTGCAAGCAGAAAAACTCTGCGCTAACCCTTTCAGCACAGAATCCTTAGTTACGGGATGTATGCATGTACACAAGCCAAAATTCCTCGCTAACCCGTGAAATACGTTCGCCATAAGCACAGAATTTTCTGCCACAGTAAGCGGATTTTTCACTTGAGGTAAGCAGCACCTTGAAATTGGGCCCAGAACCATGAAATATCCAAAAATTAATCGAGCCAGAAAAGGTCAATTTTTTTTATCGCGCATCATCACGCCCCCTAACGTAGGAGAGTCTCAAGCTGCAAGCTTCGTACTTGCCTGAGAGGCAACAGCTCTCCTCTTTATCCACCTGTTAAACCAGCTCATTAGACTGTAGACTTTTCAGGCCGTACTCTCTAGCCAAATCATGCTGGATGTGCCGTTACAGATATTGATGGTCTGGGCAGCCAGGATTTAGGAGGTCACATGCTGCATGACGCGCCTTCCCACAACCAGAAGCTACTTTCCCTCATCACCAAGAGCACAACGCAAGCCAGCGAAGCAGGTACACACTTCAGGAAGGTCTTCTTGACTGACAAACACCTTTGTTTATCAAAAATGTATTAGAAGTGAAGTACTTCTCTTCAGTTTGACATTGTTACAGTTTATGTGGTTCAAAATGAGTTCTGTTGGGCTTTCCATGGTACAGGAGAAATTTTAATGGTAGGGGAATTTGCTGTCCCTGCAAAATTTAAGGCCCTGGCCTTAACTATGCTTTGCTCGGACCTGGAAACAAAAGAGAATCACCCCATTGCAAGTGGTGCAGACTTTGAGTGGATGAAGCCGGGCCCATGCAAAGTTTGCCTGGTCTAAAAATTGTCGAGGTCAGTGTTACCTAACGTTAAAATGAAAAGAAAGAGTCAAGGAAGTCACCTCCAAAAATTTGTTTTGAAAGAGTGTTCGTAATGCAAGCAAAATCAGATTCTGAAAGAAAACAAAATATCCGAAATAGTTGACTGGAACTATTTTCCGTCTGTTTGCAGGCATGGCATTCACCCAGGACATTCTCTTGACGCTCTGGCAACAGCTTTTGTCGGTCCTGGCCGTGCCCCTGACCATGCGCAGTGTGTCAGGTGTCGGCAGCATCGCGCTCATGCTGGGCACCGAGGGGGCCAAGGAGCAGAACATCCGGGACCGCGACGCCATCTGCCTCAGTCTGGAGGCTCTGCGCCGGGCGGCTGCCCTCAGCTGCACGCTTGGTGGGTACCAACTCATCAGAAGCTGTTTGTAGAGTAGAAAGTTGCTACATGAGTGTCTCAATTGTTGGACCCAAAATGGTGGTTTACGCTTCAGCACACTGCACATGGACAGTTAGCATAGAATATCTGCATGCTTAATTGTACACATAATTGAGAGCCATTTTGGTTCCAAAGTCTGAAGTTGGTGCTACTCACTCTATATACAGCTGTGCTTCATGCTTAGACCAGTTTTATGAGTCTCTCGTTAATATGTCAATCCTTCCTGGTACGAAACTCAATGTTCCATTAAAAGTGCACGGGCACTGCTGGCTGGAGACCGGAGGAAACCTTAGAGAAGATGAGGAAGAACTTTCCAGTTTGGGGGGTGGGAGGAAAGCCTCACACAGCTATTCAAGGAAAAGTTTCAAGAATCAGGTTGGGACTGGAAACCCCTATCCACATGTCGGCCTAAAGTGGGATTCGAACCTGGACCACAGAGGTGGAAAGCAATGGAAGCACCAGCATGCCGACCAGACTCACCAGACTTTCTTAACCTCCTGTGCTAAATTTTCATGGGTGAAATGTTAAGGCCCGTTTGTCAATGCTAGGGCTTAAAGTTCATCAAGAAATTCCTCGCAAAATCTCCTTGTTGAACTTTTGCAAGTTCTCGGCACAAACGCTCGTTTCTATGAACCAATGCCAAGTATGAACTTGTCTTTGGAGTCAATTTTGTTTCCTCAACTTTTTTTGTGCAGGATTGCCAGCTCGCTGCGCCCACCTCTTCTCCCAGATTGCCAACACCTCCTGCATAAGCGACGACCCCTCCCTCCGCGCCCAGCAACAGCAGCAGCAGCCGCAGCAGCCCGGGGGAGGCGGGGCAGGCGATGCAACCTCCTCCTCTTCTTCTTCCTCCATTGTTGGGGGGAAGATGTCCCTTCGAGGGTGGTCATCCAAGGGGCAGGGCGTCCGGCTTCACGCCGCCCATGTACTGAGCCTTGACGCCATACTGTCCATGGGGCTGGAGATGGGCAGCCACGCCAGCGAGTGCTGGAAGCACATTTTCAGGTAAGCGAGACATCAGAATTTTGAGTTGACTCTCCAGTTTGCAATTTGTTGAGTTGGCATTCAGTTGGGGAGGAACTGTGCTATCAGCTGTGTGGCCAAACTATAGAGGGTGCTCACCACTTAGACTCAAGAGCATAGTTGGCTTTTGCAAATCTTGTTTTGAATATCTTGGCTTTGCTTGAAATCTGAATTACTCGGCAGATCTACCCTGGATCAGAGTTTCCAAGTCACTCCAAAAATGCCCCACGTTTGTTCGATATGTGCCACAATATAACACGTGGGAGATACCATATTCCAACAAATACCAAGATAATATTTATACGTTCGTTCTAATAACCAACTGAGTGCTGTCTTCTGATGAGTGTTGATAGCTGTCATTTTTTGGGGGGCCACAGGTGTTGCGCTTATGTGTCCCAGCTGGAACACTGTCACTTCAGCAGCAGCAACCAGCCCACCATCGCCCTCCCCAAAGTCACTGATTCCACCCAGACCCTCCCAGGCTCCGCCCCCGACAACCTGGACCTCTCCCTGCCGTCCTACGTACCAGTCCAGTCCGCGGCCGCCCCGACCTTTGATGTGTCAGAGGTCATCGGCAAGGAGATGGCCAAGGATGTAGGCTTTGAGGTCGGGTCGGCGCGGGGCGGGATGCTGAGCGCGACGACTGCAGCGAAGGTGGTGTGCGGGCTGTCATCGGAAGTGGACAGGTGAGTCGTCAATTTTTAGTGTTAAGCTACATTGGTCGGCAGTGGTCAGTAGTGTAGTTGAGTCTATCAGAAGTCCTTTCATGAAACCATTCCCAAGTTGTATAGAGAATGATTACATAGGAATGCTTTCGTCGGAATTCATTTGAATAGCCTATGATTCGACTCCCAACTTGATGCTTGTTACAGACTTGCAGGCAGCATTACATTTTCTCTCTACTTGACTTTTCCTTTTGATGCAAAGATTTGTATCAAAGATTGGGCTGTTATTTAATTGTTATCTCTACCAATGATCATCCCCCCCAAGAAATTATTTCATCAAGTAGCCCCTCCTCTTTCTGGTCACCTTTTTGACGATCTTATTCTAGTCTTTTTCTGTGAAGATTCATTTCAAGAGAACAAAGCCTTTGCTATCACTCAACTTTAGAAATATTAATTGACACTTATACATTCTCTTCATACAGGTTCTTCGATGAGGCGGCCAATAACTTAAATCTTGGTGCCTTGCTGGCTTTCCTGCGGGAACTACGAACCTCGTCTCGACACCAGCTCTACCAGAGCACTCCTCAGCAGACAGAAAAGGTAACTAATGCCTCAAATTCTGCATCTTGGTTCATTTTGACAAGCCCAAGTACAGCCTTGGTCACATTTGAAGTGCTTTTAAACGATTTCCTCCCCTGTTTGGCACTGTCTTTACAGAGACTCATTGCGCCGACGTCGCCGAGCAAATCCCTCAACATCTCAGGCCAGGCCAGCACCTCGCTCCTCCTCTTCCGAATGTGCGACGTCATCTTGAGGTGCACCCGTCACCGTACCAGGCCCCTTCTGCACCTGATGCAGGCCTGGAGCGTGGTGGCACCTCACCTAGTCGAGGTAGTTAAGAGAGGAATGCAAACTTAAACAAGGGGGTTACTCTGAACTGAAATCCATCATTGCACGCAAGCTTTGAGTCATTAATGGTGCACATATAAACTGACAATGAAACTTACATTTTGTCACTAAGGCATCTGACTAACAGGGCTGAAAGCAATGGACATATGACTTTTGCATGATGGAATTTCATTATTGTCCAAACTTTATCCACATGATTTGCAGTGAGCAGAACTTGCCATGGTTTGATAAAATGTTACTTTTAGTTTGTGGTGTGTTTTATTGCAACAAATAGCGGCCAAAATGTTCACAGACTGGTACCGCCGTTTTGTAATCTCTCTTCTGTTTTGGCACCTCAGGCTGCCTGCCACCGGGACCGTCACGTCTCCAAGCAGGCCATCACAGCCATCCATGACGTCTTGACAGAGCTCCTCTATGCCAAGACAGAGCACCCGCACTTCAACTTCCATGAGGCACTCCTGAAGCCCTTCGAGAGTCTCCTATGCCTGGAGCTGTGCGACGAAGATGTTCAGGATCAGGTACAGGCAAAGTTTGGAGAGATTCAGAGAGAGATTTGGAATAGGAAAGTGAGAACGTTTCGTGAGGAAGACAAAATGTCCTGGGCTGTCGACATGATTTACTGTCAACCATGTGATTTTTCAGTGTTTTCATCAGTCACACTTAACTGTTGATTCAAGCTTGAGGGAATCTTACGCATTTGGCCAATTTAGATATTCCAGGAACGGTTCTTTTGTACCAAGAGAATAAAAGTTTTATATTGAAGTGATTTAAAATACAGAAATGGATAAAAACATAGCAAATAAATGAAGAAGTCAAAGTGAACATTCAAGTTAAGTAGAGTTTTGTAGACATTACAAACATGTTTGACTAGTAAGTACTAACACATATCAATACAGGTCGTGACTTCTATTTGTGAGGTCGTGGAAGCATCCTTTGCCAACATCAAGTCTGGCTGGCGACCATTGTTCGGCGCCCTACGGGCTGTCCGCATTACCCTCAAGCAGCCCCCAGCAGCCAGCCCGGAAGAGGAGATGGCCGACCGGACGGAGCATCCCCTGGCGCCACTCTTCAATGTCTTTGAGGCCTTCCTGAACACGGACAATGTGACCGTGTTCGCCAATGCCGCCGTGGACTGCATACTGTGCCTGCTCAAATTCCTCAGGGGCTCTGGTTAGTTTTCCTCGCTGGACTTTTACTTTGCTCTGTGGAGGGTCAAGATACGCTTACCGCCTCTTGATGTGCTGACACCCCTAACCGCACTTCTCTCAAAAACCTGAAAGAAAACTTATACGACTATTTCAAGAAATGAAGTAGCCTAAAACGGGAGGTTTGGAACTTTCTGCAGGATGGATTAATTTCCACCAAAACCCTTTTTATTTCACCTTGGACTTGTTGTCCCTCTAAAGGTAGAGTAAAAGACTGTACCAATTGGTTATGTGATTGTTTGATTCCTGATTTGGTCGCATTTCTCTCTGGAACTCAAAAGCTAGCCCTCCTTACAGTTTATTCAACAATTTGACTAATAATTTTTATTATTGCAGGTTATTCCAGCTCTTCACAGACCTCAACCCCAAGCTCCTCCCTGGCTGCTTCTCCAGAGCGGCAGCCTAAGACGCTAGACCTGTGCTTCCCAGCTCTCAACTATCTCCATCGCTGCCACAAGATCCTGGCCTCCATCTATACCATGCCGGCTTGCCCGATCTTCCGCGGGGCCCAGTCCATCAAATTGGGATCCCCCGAGGGGCCTCCCGATAACCCCGCGACCCCGACCTTGCCTGGAGTGGGTGGAGCTGGGGGCGGATCCGGCCAGCAACGCTTTCGGTGGGCCAGCGGCAGCAAGGAGGACGAATACCTGTTTGAGCCGGTCACGGCCGAGCAGGTGGATGATGCGACAGGTCTGGGCCGGGTCTGGTACCTGCTGCTGGAAGGGCTGACAGGCGCAGTGTCCACGTGCCCTAGAGGGTACCAGCCTCAGACTCTGGAGCTGTTGTTTGAACTGCTGCGATCTGTACTCTCAGTCCCAGGTAAGGCAGGAAATTTTGAAAATCTTATATGATATGAAGCATTAAATCTCTTGTGTGAAAGTGTTTGAAAGTCAGATTGTGTGTATCGTAGCTGTGACTTGTTAACATTTCATTTTGACACCGTAGGTCCCCAGTTTGCTGTTTAATTGACTTACTGTGAGTCGGTGTTTTTTGTAGTGCCTGTAACTTGTATGTCTGTCATTTTGACACTGAAGGTCCTCAGTTTGCTATGTTTATTTTGTGAAGTTGCCTCTGAGTCCATTTTCTGTCCATTGCTGTAACCTGAATATTGGTCATTTTGACACTGAAGGTCCTCCGTTTGCATATTTTGTCATTTTGACACTGAAGGTCCTCAGTTTGCCCTGTTTGCCGTGTCTGAGCTCCTCCTCCCCATGCTGCACTCCTGGGTCCATCGCAGCCGTCAGTTTGCCTTCCTGTGGGAGGCCACCGTGGCCAACTTCAAGCACGCCTGCGGCCTGTCCACGGACTTGGTGGTAGAATACGTGGTGCACTTTGTCCGGACGGGCATGCCTTTGACGGGGCTGTACCTGACGTTGAGGCAGATGCTAGACGTGCTGATTGAGTGCATTGGGCAACCCAACGAGTCCGTCTCCAGACTAGGCTGCTCTTGCATCCGGTAAGTACACCTACTCAAAGACAATGTAATTGTTCTTTATCCATTTTTGTGTCATATTTTGTAGTCTTTAGAGCAAAATTGCCAGTATGCTCACATATTTATGGGCTCAGTCCATCAAGAATGTTTAAATGGTTTATCTTTAATAAGTCCAGCTTTCAACTGCGACAGAGTACTTCTTGTCAAATATCTTGCTTATGGATGCAAGCAGTACCCACAATCAGTTGGATCCTAACCCAAGTTTTGCTTTTTGAGAAATCATTGATTTCATGACTGGAAAAAGATAGAAGTGCAAAGATACAAGGAAAAGCACCATTGCTGAGTATTTCTTTTTTTCATAGGCATCTCTTGCTGAGCGCCGGCCCCTCCTTCACCCACGACATGTGGACCGTGGCCTGCCTGGCCATGCAGCGGGCCATCGCCATGAGCCTGCGCAACCTCAAGCTCCTGATGTCCTGTTTCCATCCGGGCTCAGACGACTTCATGGGCGACGTCTGCCAGGTCAAGGTGGCCGCCCGGAAGGACGTCAGTGAGCTGGAGTACCTCAGACTGCAGCAGCTGGCACAGCAGGTTAGTACCCCAGCCTCTAGTACTTTACTTTAGGACCTGATGTTCCTGGTTTGTATCAATGAGGTTCCTGTACTGAATAGTGTCAGGTGCATTGGACGTTCACATGATTTAGATTTAGTCAGTGTTTTTGCTGTGCATAGGTATTCCTTTTGGAGTCGCAACGAACTGGAATGGTTGATGTGGACAGCGACTCCAATCGCTCCTTCATTTTCATCATCTACCCGCCTGAGATGGACCTGAACACCAGCATAGACCAAATTAGGAGCAGGTACACCACTCATACAGATAGTAGGGCAAACTTGGAAACCCACTGTCCTTGATGGATAATTTAGACCTTATGTTAGTCCCAAGATTTAGTACACAGATACTTCAGATTCTATATGTATCTATGCTGTGTCAAAGCATTCAACGCTGTTTGTTATTGTGAATCACTTTCTGATACTTTATTGTGCTTTTTGTCCAGGGTATCATTCAGGGGTCTTGTCCTGGGTCTGCTCGCCCATCAACTACTAATCCAGACCCTGGGGACCATCTTCCTGTATGGAGTTGAGAACCAGACTACAAAGGAACAGAACATGATTGCCGTGCCGAGCAGTGTCCCACCCCAGCGGATGAGCCAAGGGGGTCGCGATCAGGATTCTGAGATGACTGACACCTCTCTGCCTGGACTTCTGGCCTATCTCTCTCCGAAGAACCTGGGGCTTCTGCTGGAGTGCTTTGTCCAGTCCTACCAGATGGCCTGCGACTTCAACACCCGGCCGGGCCTGAAGTTCCTCCTTCAGAAGGTGGCCAAGTTTGAGGTGGCCGTCAACCTGTACTGGCAGGCTGGGGTCAGCTTCACATTCTATCTGCACACTTTGCTGGAACTTTGCCACCACGCCAGCGGGGAGAGACTGACCCAGGACCGTGTCAAGGATCTGGTGAGGCAGCACGTCACCGCGGACGGCAGGCCGCTCTCGCCGAACCTCAGCTCTCCCAAGCCTGCGGTCAAGAGGGTCAACTTTGAGTGCTCCGCGGAGAACGGCCAGGTCGGCCAGGGCCTGAACAGGGAGCGATCCGACACCGAGAACAGCCATGGCAGCAACGCCAGCAAGGACAGCAGCATCCAGCTGCAGTGCGACCTAACATTCTACCCGACTAGCAATGCCTCTAATCCTGACTGGATTGTCAGACGCCTCCACGGCATCTGCAATGACGTCTGCGCCTCGTACATCCAGATGTATCTGGATCTCAACGGGGGCAAGATGGACGCCAGCCGCATCAATGACCAACCGCTGTTCTTCCTCGTAGCCCCAAAATCGCCCGAGGTGGCCTCCAAACCCAGCGAGTTCTTTGGCTTCGACGAAGGCGAAAACTGCCTCAATGAAGATGAAAACGACGACAGGGAGATGGAAAACTCTGTGAGCCCGAAAGAAAAGAGTCCCAAGTTTGCCGCCCACTGGACCCCAAAGATTAAGGGTCTCGACCCTGAGGAGGAGAGTGTGGTGGACGTGATGGAGGAATATCCGAAGAAACCGGCCACCTCCAAGAAGAAGGCGGAGAGCGTCTACACGGTGGCCTCTCGCAAGACCATCAAGAGCCTGATGCAGGAGTACAAGAAGCGGAAGACGCAGCACTCTCGCTCTGTCTTTGTCAAGAAGCCCACCTACAAGGAGCTGAAATACACCCGCATGCTGGAGCAGCGGCAAGGGGTCGGGACTGCCCCAGCCACACCAGAGGAGCGGGTGCGGCAGCAGCAGATCAAGGATGAGCAGAAGACGTCCATCGTGCGGGACGGCGAGGCAGAGATTAGCACCTGGAGCGACATGGTGCACACCATGCTCCAGCTCCTGCAGCTCCTGTCCGACTCCCACTTCCAGGCCCTCCTGCCAGCCGTCTTCCCTGGCATCAATCAGCTGGTCAGGCACGTCGCGGATGACAGGGTTCGCCAAGCGGTCATGGAATTTATGGACAGGGTAGCTCACCTGTATCAGATCCTCTGAAATGGACATTGCCACTTAAAGATTTTCCCCTGACATCACTGTCCAGTAATCATGGAATCACATCAAATCATGTTCAACATGGTCTGGATTTTTAAAGGGCTTGCACATCTAGAAATTCTGAATGATTTAGTGAGCTTAGGTTTGTAGTGATTATATTTGCCAAATTTCATGAGCACTTAACACTTGATTTTAGCAGATACATTACATGCATGCATATTTCTTGGACACATTTTTATTTTGCTCCTAAGAAAAAGACAAAGTAATTTTAGTTCTAGCACACAATTACTACAAATATGAGATTGATGCATGTTCTTTTTCCCTAATGTACAATATTAACTACATAGATCATTGCATTGTAAGTCGGCAATAGCCACCTGGCAGAGTCACCTGACAACCAACAACCTATCATATGCTTAGAAACATCTTATTTCATCAATGCTGTAGTAATAATCGAAATGGGCGTGTTTAAGGGTCGTAATTTCAGGACTCCCTCCTTTACAATCAAGAGATTCATTTTGCATTGCTAATTCACTGCTCCTCGCTATTTCCAGGGTTTGTGTAAAGTGTATTTCTTCACATAAAGGTAGGAAGAATTATCATTTTTGTCTACTATGTTCAGGTTTTGTTTTTTGTTTAGATGAGATCAACAGAGTCTTTATAATTTGTTCAGTTTTATTTTGCAAAAGGTATCGCTTACTCTAGATGAGTGGTCTCTACTTTTCGTCATTTTTATAGGAATCTTGTTTTTTGTAATTAATTGAGGGTTAGATGCTTCAGAAATCACTTTGAGTTTCCCTCGTTACTGTGGCAATCTTGAACCTTGTTTTTTTTTCGCTTAACATTGTTGTAACTGTTCCTTGCTGTTCAATCACCTGGCCAGTTTGGTTACGGTGATAATCCTAGCCATTGGATCACTGAACCATTTGGCTACCTGACTGTTTTAGCAAACTTGACAATTTGATTACATAGCCATTGTCACTCCCTCATCACTTGTTTACCAAGCTATTTTGGCTACCTACATGTAGGCACTGAAATCTAGTAAAAGCATCATCGAGCCACTGTGGCTATCTAGCCATTTGATTACCAAGCCATTTTGGCTTCTCAGCCTCCATGGTTACCAAGCCATAAGATCAGTTAGCCATTGTCACTCCTTAGCCACAGGGTTACCAAGCCAATGTATTTTTTCACCTAGCCATCCAGGGTACCTAGTTATTGCTTCACCTAGCCATTCGGGCTACCAAGCTATTGGTTCACCCAGCCTTTCAGGCTACCCAGCCATTACCTTACCTAGCCATTTGGGCTTCCTAGCCATTCAGTTGGTTTACCTAGCCATCCAGGCTACCTAGTTGTTGTCTCACCTAGCCATTTGGCCTACCAAGCCATTGCTTCACATAGCCACCCGGGCTGTCAAGCTATCACTTCACCTAGCCATTGGGGCTACCAAGCCGTTCAGTTGGTTCACCTAGCCATCCAGGCTACCTAGTTGTTGCCTCACCTAGCCGTTGGGGCTACCAAGCCATTGGTTCGCCCAACCATTCAGGCTACTTAGCCATTGCCTCACCTACCCATTGGGCTTCCAAGCCATTAGTTCACCTAGCCATCTGGGCTACCTAGCCATTCACTGGAACATGCAGCCCTAGTGGCTACCCCGTCACCTCCAACCTGTAAATAGTTGTCACTGAAATTTGAACCATAGCCAAATCAATATAAGGTCGTACGTGTATTTAATTTTCTGCATTATAAGAAAAAGTTTCCTTTTTGCCATTGAATATTGGCAATGATATAAGTGTTATATCACGGGACTCAAATGCATGAATATATAAACATTCCTGTGCAATTTAAATAAAAGAAAATCGATAAGTTATAACACAAAAATTGTATAACTTATTTCATAATTTTGAGTCCACGTCCTCTGTTGGTTTTGGAAATATTTATTGAACAAAAGCAGAGGATGTCGTTTGTGATTTTATTTAATGTTTATTGTATGTACTTTGTGCACGATTTGATCATTTGGTGACAAATATAGAATCATGATTTGAGGTTGGCACAATTCGAAATAGGTATATATTGTTAGCTTGGAACCTCAAAATTGGCCCATATTTATCCGAAGGCACGCTGATTTTGAAAAAAAGTCCGAATAAAACATAACATCCAGATGAAGTTTGTATCGCGGTTTTTCCAAATCATGAAGTATCTTTGCTTCCTACGATTACAACTGTGATTCGACAGAGACCGCCAGGCAAGAAAAGCTGGACACTAGATATTCTCGACCACAAGACGCTAGCGCCCTATGACTGATCCTGCATGGTGCGGGCTAACGACGTAGTTTGAGGCCACTGCAGCTGGCCTGGCGTACGTACGTACGTACGTGTGGGGAATCGTGTTGGGGAGGGAGAATGGCTCTTCATGCCTCATGGAAGCTTCCCCGTTGATTTGTCAAATTAAGCTACTTGAAAAAAATCGTCTAGAGAAACGACTGTCGCCTTTATTTAAGTCAAGATAAAATCAGAGAAACGTGTTTTCTTTAGAGGTGCTCCTTAAAATTGATGGCACTTCAGTTTAAACCACGCCCACTGGACATAAAGAGTTACATGGGACCGTGGAGCCGAGAGTTGGGCGGAACTTCAGCGTTCAGCCAATGGGAGTTTGTAATCAGTGGTGCGTGCGCATGTATAACAAAGTCACTGACAACCTGATTACCTCCTACATGCTAAGCGGTTTGGAAGTTTTTAACTAATTATTGCTTCCACACGGTGCTTAAATGGGAGTAACTATAGAATACAAGGCCAACCCCTACAATCACTGGGTACGGTGTCGCATTGGATGGGAGTGACTCGTCCGGGAACAAGTCCAAATCGAGTACCCAGTTGGTACACGGTTACGTGGCTATGATGTCGAAAGAGTTCTTTTTGAGAACGAAGTAACACAAAATGAATGGAGCTGGTCGAAAAAAAAATCCGAGTCCAAGCCGAGTGGCCCTGTATTCTATAGTTGTACTGCAGAGCGTATGGAGGAAAAACTTCGATTGTGATCAAAGGCAGATACAACCTTGCTGAACTAAACCATACAATATTTCCTTTATACACCGTGGGAGACGGGATAGACCGGTTGGATCATTTTTAAATCGATGGTAGTTAAAGGTAAAGCTTCCTGATTTAATCGTAGTATGTTTGTAGACGGATTTTCCACTCAGGTAAGGAAACTAGACGTGTCGATTCGACCATGGAGGAAGGAATTTTAAGACCCAGTATATAATTCGACGGTAGGAATTTTAAGACCTAGTACATAATTCGACGGATTGAGTCCAATGAAAATTCGCACGAAACAGCCGCCGGGCAGCATTAGTTCAAATGCAAAGTCCACGCATGCTCGCCATCGTGTCAACTTCGTTCTCGATGTGAGGTGAGACACCATTGTTCAGTGCACAGCCATCCTGGGAACAATAATAACTACAAGTCCGTATGTTGGATGTGTACTGTGTGTGTGGTGCGATTACATCGATCATGTCGATCTACGTTTCGGCGCACCGAAGTGGCATTTAATTTTGACAATCTACCCAAGAGACTGTTGACGAGTGGGTAAGTGGGTTTGACAGGAGCTGGTGGACTTGTTGAAGTTTTGGAGCAAGTTTCGTAGCCAGGCTCCGAAATTGTTCCTGCAGTAATAAGCACCAATTGAGTGTTATAACATTTGTTGAAGGTAGGTAGGAGAGCTAGAGCCGACGACGTGAATTGCCTGCACTGTCCTGTGAGTGTGGTCCGCGCTGGTTGTGAAAAAAAGTATGTGCGGTTTGATTTTTTTTTGCCCTGCGATTTCTATCAATTCGTGCCTTCTAAATATTCCCTCGTGTGCATACAAAAATTGGTTGTCTTTGTAGGCCGATCAGAAGTATGAATATGAAAAGTGTGTCCACTCTTTTGATTGAAAGTGGTTTATTTATTACGCCTAATACCAGTGGCCCGTGCATTGTTTTTCAAAATCAGCTGATTGCCCGCACGTTCGTGTTCGAGGTAAAATGTAGGCCTAGGTGTAGAAAAATCTAGTGCACTTTGCGACTTGCTCCTTATCTCATGCATTCCGGTTGTACATCTGGCACAATGACAAGTTACTTCTTTTGGGGGAATTGTATACTTGGGGACCCCCATTTTTTTACATTTTCATCTTGCAAAACTGGTAAGTCCACCCCCCTCCATTGCACTGATCCTATTTTTGGAAATTTCAAATTGTAAATTGTGAGAAAATGTGACCTTTTTACCGACAAACTAACTATGAAAATTGGAATCCACCACGTGTCATGTGTTAAAATACTCAGTTTCCCCTCATAATTTCCCTCCAAACTCAAAACCCTGTCCTTTTTTCACATCAACCCTACCGTTTTGGAGCATGGTGTCACACTAGTCATCTACCAAGGTCAATTCAATAGTTAAAATGTACCGCTCCCTTCTATCATGAGAACAGGGAACAATCCCCTTGTTTGGGGCCCTTGAACTTGTATAAGCCACATTGCTGTTACTGCAAGAGTGATTTTGCACAATAGTATAAAGGCATCATGGGAAGGAAAAGGGGGCAAACATGGCCCTTTTTTCCCTTTCCATTTGTGCAAAATCAGCCGTTGCTTTTGCATGCTATGGGAAACTTTCTCCCTCTACCCAATCCATTAGCATGTAGCATGAGTAGCTTCAACTCTAATGCATATGTTATCAGGAATTTCACATTTCATGGAATTCGTGAAAGCTGAGTTCATGAAACTGAAGATCTGGGAAGCTGTTTGTTAAAATAGCGAGTTTCTGCTAAAGGCCATGAAAATGAATATCCAGGATTTCTATCCACTCCCCGTATAGCCTGACACATGTGCCAAAAAATATTATTTTCAAAAAGTTATTATTTCAGAATAATCTTTTTTCCTGTTGGCATTGGTTGGAAAATGGTTGCAAAGTAAATCAGGAGTTTATAGTGTGCCCTTGCGTGATGCAAGACGGACTGAGAGCTAGTCTACTTTCACGGTTGGTTCCCTTTGCATAGACGCGTACTCGCTGTCGATGTGCAATATGTACACCTAATCATGAATAGTAAAAAAAAGTGTCATGGGTTTTCAAAATTGTCCGGACGGAAATCTGGGATGTTCATTCTCATGGCTTAACCAATGTGTCGAATTTCAGTTGTAATGAAGAATGTTGGGAAATGTTTTGGTTTTGCTATAGGTTAGTATGATGTTCTGAGTTATGGAACCTAAGGATGCAGTCAGCACGGTCAAGCATATATTTCATCGTCAGATAAAAGTAAGTCGACTCGTTGGGTTGACTCGTTAAAGTAGGCCACAACTGCTGTTGTGTCCTAACTTTGTCCATTGCCCCAACTTTGACCAGTGCCCACTTTAGACAGGTCCAGCAGTGTTGGCACAAAAAAATCTAAACAAAGACCGCTTAAAAAAGGTCTGTGAAACACTTTGTGCACGTTTGCTCACACTATGCATCTCTCTGTAATATTTTGAGATCTATGAATTGTTGTCCAAGGGTGGTGTGATTCGATTTGTGTAAATAGTTTGCTGTGCGGGTTTCCGTTGCTGTCAACAGGACACATTCTGCTTAAGTTTCCAGCGTTCACACCATGTGGACGAAGCCTTGATTAACAGACTCGGGCTACTGCATGAATTAGAGGTGAGATTATTTCAATATGTTGTGTTCCCTTGTGTCCCAGGTTTGTCGAAAGTTGCTCCAACCTTGACAGCGTCAAAAATCCAATTAAACTTAGTCCAGTGTGGTCGGTGAATATAAACAGAGGTCCCCTTCGTATTGTTGTGAAAGAGAGTTTCAGAGATATTTCTGCATTTTTCAAATTCCAAGATGGGGGTCACATGTTGGGGCTTCACAGTCTTTTTCAAATTTTTTTTTTCAGGGTCACAGTGGGTGTGTGAACTGCCTTGAATGGAATTACTCAGGCCGGTTAGTCGTTTTCAAGTTTGATATGCATCATAAGTCTTTTCTGCCAGAGGGCATGTTCTCGTTAAGTGCATGGAAGTACCATTTTTAACAGTTGGCCAATTTCTCAGCCATTTTGGAAATCTGTCATCGATTAGAGTCAGCTGAACAACTAGTTGTGTGTTTCAAAAATTGAAAATATCGGAATTTGGTGATGCAAGCCTCGCCTTCATTGCTTTGAAATAGATCAGGTGTCGTAATGTTTTCCATTAATATCCAGAGAAGATGATGTAAAAAAGTCCCAGGTTTGTCTCAGAAATAATTGCAATATTGGCATTGTGGGAGTCAAATCTCAGTTCAGAAATCATTGTTGCATTACCATCCTGTTGGTGTTCACGGCACACACAAACAAGAAATGGCAAGAAAGTCTCGACTGAATTTCAGTTATAACTTATTTCATGAGCAGACCAAGTAGCGCTGTGTGCCCACGTTGTTGGCTGATATTCAGCCTTGAAGTCAAGTCTAATGTCGTATTCTCAAATCCCACTTGATTATCCAGGTTGCTGGGCAGCGGCTCCGATGACTTTAATGCAATCGTGTGGGATCCCCACCGGAGACGACGACTGTGTGTACTGAGAACTGGCCACCATGGCAACATATTCTCCGTTAAGGTAATGAACATTGTTTTCAGGTGAATATCATAACACTTGTAATTTGGTTAATTTGGTTACTGACTAATTTCAAACAGGTCCTAGTTAATGTATTTTTTTCTGTATTTTTGCCAAGAGCTTTCTGGCATCTTTCACCCTAACCCTCCTCAATCCTCCAACAGGTGAAGGATTGAGGAGGGTTAGGGTCAATTTTATTACAATTTTATAAAATGACAGGGCAAACAAAGAAAAAGCGAATTCAAAAGACTTGGGAGTTCAGACATTTTCTCTTTGTACAGTTTTTTAGAGATATGTATGCTCTTTGCAGACAAGTCCAGTGACTATCGTAATGTGATTACTGGTCATCATTTCCATTGTCCCCCTGCCAATGACGGTAAGCATTGTGATTAAAAATGTATGGAGCCACTGTTTGGTGACGCTCCTCAAGCAAGCCCAATTGGAATTGGAAATTTGGAAATCAGAAATTCCCAATGAAACGTCACTGGATACATCTTTGTGCAGAGCCAACTGTTAGTACTTGAAATTCTGCCGTCTTGCTCAGTTGTCGTCTATGATAACACCCGTCACATGTAATCCATTACAGTTCCTACCCAATGCAAACGACGAGACGCTGGTAACTGGCGCGGCCGACTGCAAGGTCCGCATCCACAGCTTGCCCAGTCAGGAGACCACCCATGCCTTCAGTTGCCACGCGGGCCGCGTCAAGCGGTTGGCTGTGGCCCCCAGCATGCCCTACATGTTCTGGAGTGCCGGAGAGGACGGAACGGTCAGGTGAGATCGATTTTGTCCCAAGCTCAAAAAAAGGTGAATAGAAGCGTTATACTCCAACTACAGTTGCAAGAGTGCCTCCGACAGTTGTGACAAAGTTTGGACAATGTCTACAGTTGGGACAGCCCAATTTAAGTTGGGACTAGCGTTACAGTTTGGGTGTAACAAATACCTCGTCCCGTCTCTGGTTTGGACTTTTGTCAGTGAAGGATCAAATACAGCAAGGTAACTTTTAACAGCTTTACCAAGGTCAGAGTTCCTGACCTCTTGACCCGAAAAGTGAAGGAAACGTGCTTGCTACATCAGAGTGCGTGCCTTGTGACGCTGTCAAGTTGAAACATGATCCAAAACATGATATTTGCAGAAAACTTGTTAGCGAGAAATCAAACTCTAAATACATGTTGTGCAAAACCTCACCGATTGCAAATGCACAAAATAGCTCCTTTCCACAAGGCATAAACTGTCCATGAGAACATGCAACTACCCATCATAATAATCCCGGAAATAAATGGCTAGTATTTTCCCGTTGGAAGGTATATTTCAAAGGTTTGAGTGAGTCCGTTCTCTTTGTCAGACAATTTGACCTGCGGGCGCCGCACACCTGTAACGACAGCTGCGCCAACGTCCTGATAAACCTGAACTGCTACATCGGCAAACACGCTGAATGCAAGTGCCTTGCCATCAACCCCAACAGGCCTGAGCTTATGGCTGGTGAGTCTTCCTTCTTCCAAGAGGAACTGGGAAGTTCCCTGTCCAAGTTCCATTATCCACCAAACAGCCTTCTGAGGCCTATTCAAACTTCAGGCGATTGCGAAAGCAAAGCGAACTTGGCACAACGAAACTTTTGCAGCGAAATTAGCTGGACTTGAAATGGGTTTAGCTTTTGTGAATTTGCAGCATGAATGTTTCACCTGATGTCATGTTGTTGCTTGCTTTCATCCCAATTATGAATCAGCCTTTAAGGTTCTTGTTTTCACAAGCAAAACTCGCATCATGCATTACATCTCTTTAAATCAACCCCTAAAAGTTTCTTTGCAAGGAAGTGTGACATATTTCTTTCATTCATTTTTCATGGCCACGATGCTGTGTACATTGAGAATAAATGCTTAACATATTCTAAGACATACTCCACCGTTGGTGCCAGTGGTCCCTGCTGCTGTTTCATGTCATTAAGTAAAACATTCATAGTTTAAACCACAGACATATAAACACATAGACTGCCAGGTCCTACTCAAAACTATGGGGGTTTTCGTGATCTGCGCGGCGCCCGACTAAAATCAAAACTATGCACAGATTCACCCCTCGGTATAGGGAATTTACGCATAGTTGAAGAATTCCAGCCATAAAATTCTATGAAGTCATTTTTCGATTGTAAAAGACCCCCTCTATTTACTTAATCTAGCCCATATGGATTCAAAACAATGCAGTTGCAGCAGTTGAAAAGAAGAGATAGCAGAACTGAAGAGCAAAAAAGGTGAACATATTTGGAAGTACATGTAAACAAATACAGGCGATGTAAGTGCGTTGCACATAATACGTACTGGACACGCTGCCATCCATCGCTTCGCTCACTGTTCGCCCGTACTTGTCAAAATCATGGTTTCACCCGCAAGCCTTGTCGGTCTGTGTGTTTGTATGTCTGTGGTTTAAACTGTGTATCTCAACTGCTGTTTCATGCTGGTAGCCACTATGTGTTTATAATTAGAGCTTACACTTCCTTATCAGTTGCTACTAGTTATGCCTACGGCTGTTTCATGTCAGCCTCTAAACCTTCATATTTGAGGGTTGAACTAAGATGCCTTTTTTTGCCCCTTGTAGTTGGTGCTAGTGATGCTTATGTGCGTCTCTACGATGTGCGGATGCTGTCTCCCCACGCTGTGCATTTCTCCCGGGAGGAGCGGTTGGGGGCGTCGTGGAGGACCCCGGCCCCCGAACCGGATGACAGTGGCTTGCTGCCCAGAGGGTGCGTGCAATATCTCGTGGCGGGTAAGTTTGGTCTAACCGCTGGCCATTGGAGTGCAATTGTTTCGTGAGCCCGCACACAGAAATGTATCCACCACTCTCTTCAAAGCGAGCGTCCATGCCCTGAGACTCGGGGCTTGTTTACTTCACACGAATCCAAATCACGTTCAGTAATCTGTCGTCGGTTCACTGACACCAGAACCCGCCCCATGGATAGAGCAAACCAGCATTGAGATCACTAATCGAGATCCAAATCCATGGAAACAAACATGTCCAGATTTGTGTTTTCAATCGGCAGGATAGTGACAAAACGCACGGCAACCATAAACCATTTCCTGGCCTGTTTTTTTTTTTTTCATTTTTGGAAACGAAACAGCATACACTATATGGTAAAGGCATTAATCTTTGACCCATCTCCATGGAAACCCTTGGCCATTGACCTTCCTGAATCTTTCAAAAACCACCGTTGCAGGAAACTGCATGTGTAGTCTTTGAACTGTTAACATTCATGGGGCACCCAGCCTTACATAACTCCCTTCGTCCTGCAGGATCCACTGAACCTCCCATTGACTTCTTTAAAAGAATTGGGGAGGGATAGAGTGGAGGCATACTACATTTATATGGAGGAACTGACTTGAAACCCCCAGGAGATGAGTCCTACTCGGCAGTATGCCACAGAAAGAAAATTGAGATAGCAGCATTTCCAAAACTCTGGCAAATTTTGGTGCCGAAGAAGTTGCAACTTTGAGATTCCTTCTAGAAATGACTCCACATTTGTTCTCATATGCAAATTGTTAGCATAAAAATGAAATAAAGGCAGCACAGTGCCCTTAAAGTGACCAAGCAAAAAATAAAAAATAAGGCTTCATAGTAGAAAGGACACAGAGGTACGGTTACCAGGTTTGCGTAGAAAAAATTAAGACAACATTGGTCCATCGACATAACCAACAGAAGCTACCTACAGGTCCATGTATTTATTATTTAAGCTTCGTCAAATGATTGATTTCCGCTTCCGACAGGACACCTGCCGCTCAAAGAGAACGACAGAAAAAGAAAGTATCGATCGCTAGTTTCGACCTATGTCACCTTCAGCCCCTCTGGCAGGGAGCTCCTCGTTAACTTGGGAGGAGAGCAGGTTTATTTATTTGATCTCTACAACCTCCGACATCCCAAGGCGTTTAATGTCGGCGACTACGTGCTACCGGAGGGCAGCAATGGCGTTTGCAAAGGTAGGACCGACGGTCCCCTTTAATGACCGTAATCTGATCCCTACAGGTGTGCATTTTCGAAGCTCAGAGATTGCTTACTGTGTAGAGTAATAGGCAACTGTAGAGATGACAGGATGACCCTTTGGAGTTGTGATGCCGGCTTTAAAGGGATAAACTTTCCTTGTCAAAGAAATTGGACTTCAACTCCTGTGCTCATGAAAGTGGAGACAACTTTTATGGCATTTTTAAAATCATTTTGGCAGCTGAACCTAACAGAAGGTATGTTTGTTTGCAAATCTGTTTAAAAAAATATGACGAAAAGAAAATAAAAAAATTCAAGTCTTTGTTTTGTTCTTTAAGGAAATTTCTGCGTAGTTTTTCTTTGTAATTTATAATAAGGGCAATTTAGTGTCATGTAACAACATATGTTCTCCATAATTGCACCAGTGCAAACATCACTGTGCACTATAACAGTTTTTGTTCCAGAGAGGTAGAAACTTATCACCCCTGTGATGTCTTCTTCAAAGGAGAAATTCTTTAGTTGCTGGTTTCACATCCGTGACACATTACCATCTTTAACATTGTAACCCATCCAGCAAAAACTGATCATTCGGGGCCTTTACAATGAAGGAGACAATAAGGAAATGTTCAGTTTTAGAGGTGGGAGGAAAAACCTGGATGAATTTATCCAGGGGGAAACCCATGGAATCAGGTAGGGACTGAAAACCCAATCCACGCGCTGACCTAGCTGGGATTCAAACCCCAAGCCGCAGAGGTGGAAGACGAGAAAAAAGCTTCTAAGCCAGCCTGACGCCCCTCCCTGACGCCCCTACTTCACTTCTCACGTCTGGTTTCCTGCAGAAGTGTCAAGCCAAGTTGCCGAGGCGCTGTCAGCCAATGGCACGTCCATCGGGTCCACCAACGGAGTCACCAAGCACCTGTCACACGCCAGCAGCTACAGGCTACAAGAAGGCTCCCCCAGCACCGGCCCGGGCACAAGGTAAATAACAATCAAAGGATCACCATACTCAACGACCCATCATCACCACCAATTAGGGATCTGATATCCACTAGACCTCAACACTGTGGTGAACTTGTACTTCTTATGCAACTGGTTTGGGCTGTTGATATCCAGCATTGGTATTTGATTAACAATAATGCCTATCCGGTTCGTAAGTGTGACGTCACTTCAGTTTAAACCACGCCCACTGCATACGTGCACTGCACATAGAGTTACATGCATTGATCGCCGTTTACATGGAACCATGGAACTGGAAGTTAATGCGCAACTTCAGCTTTGCTCCGTCTGTCAGGATCTTAACCGACAAACACGGCTATCAGCAACTTAAGAGACAAAAATTGATTCAAATAGTGACGTAGCAGAAGAAATCTCCATTGCCTATCCAAGCATATTTTGTAGTTGCTGCAAGGGCTGTGTATGGTTTTTTTTGTTTAAGCAATACGGTCTTTCAGCCAAGTTTTAAGCAAAACCATAAAGTTGGTGCCAGGACAGAGGCAGTGTCATAGTCAAGACCCTTTTAAGACCATCATAAGACCTTAGATGACCTTACAAGACCATTACGAGACCTCCAGTCTGAATTCCAATCACAAGCTATTGGAATGAACTGCAAAAAAAGCATTCCTTTGTCACTGTTCGCTGTGGTAAGTGTGACTGGTTTTTGACTGGACTTGCGCTTGGTCTTGACGACAACATTGTAGAGAGCACAGCAATTGAAATAAACAAATATCCTCTCATTTCAGGGCCCAATGTCTTGCACCAGTCGGCAGCCTGAAAGAGCAAAAAAACATGTCGTAAACTTTTCAAGATTTTTGTCCTGCATTCCACGTTGTATAACTCCTGTACCTTTTGTCAAACAGTCGAGAGCTCCCACCCAGGGCGGAAGCCTTGAAGCAGGAGGGCAACCGTTTCTACTGCGACATGAAAGACTACACCTCGGCAATAAGGCTGTTCAACCAAGCACTGGGCATAGCCCCCAACAGTGCCATACTCTACGGGAACAGGGCGGCGGCATTCATGAGACGGAAATGGTAAGAAGGGGTAGAAATAACCGAGACCTAAACTCTTCAGTTATTTACCGTTTTCAAACTTATGCATTAAACCAATGTCACTTTATTTCGACGTCAACATTCCATGACCAACAAAGTCCACTTGCACGTTACTAGTCGCTGAAGCCATGCCTGTCTTGGAACAGTTGTCAAAGTAAGGTCTTGCTTGCTTGCTTGCTACAGCAAGATCCAACAGGTCCGCTTTACTGTACGACCAAACAGCTGCAGAGTACCAGCCTGCCAGCCACCACAGGCTCCAACTGTGGGCATCGATCGACAAGACTAGGACCCAGTGCCTCAGCATCGGCAGTTTATTCCACTGCCATTGCGTCCAGTCTGATAGCCCCCACAGAGTTAAACACTTCTTGTACTTCGCTGCATTTGGCAGAGCTAGGGATACAGTTTAAGGTGCCGCCTTCTGAGGGCAAACGTTGAAGGAGGAAAAAATGATAAATCTCAGCTGGGTTTAATAATTTTGAACCATTTTAAAAAGCCCACTTGGCCCTAACCCCTTTCTCTTAAAGTGAAATTTGTACACTCACAGAAATGATGAAAAAAACCAATTGATGGCTCGGTATGAATGAGCCTGCTCGGTATTTCTGAGAGGCAAAGTCCTTTCAGAACAAAGGATGTATGTGAGTGGGCCGGTGGCTGCACTGCTTGACAGTGTTGTGTTTGAGTCCATCACAAGTCCCTGTAAGTCCATCACGTCATCCAGTCTAAGGCCAATTCACAAGCTATTCAAATGAGCTGTGATTAAAACATTCCTTTGGCATTGTTCACCCTGTCACTTACTCTAAGCAGTTATTGCAGAGGTCGATTTGCTGATCTTTGTCCTTCCTCTCGCCAGGGACGGCGACCTGTACGCAGCGCTGCGCGACTGCCACCGTGCCCTGGCCCTGGACCCCAGCCACCGCAAGGCCCACTTCCGGCTGGCCCGCTGCCTGCTGGAGCTGACCTGGGCCCGGGAGGCGCAGGACTGCCTCAAGCAGTATAAGCGCAACTACCCGGAGTTCAGCAAGCACCGGGAGTTTGAGGCCCTGGACCGAGACATCACGACGGCCGTCTTCTCCATGTGCGATAGCGGTAAGGCTTCACTGATGAAAAACTTTCAGCATCTCATCTTCCGAGACCTGAGAGACTCTGAAAAAGATCGCTTGGCGATTATGCAAAGTTTCACGAAAATCATAAGTGGCCCAGTTTAACAAAATGAGTCATGAGGGTCCAGGACCTCTTTTCGTTTCATCCTAATGAAGCACAATTCTTCAATTTCAGTGGATATTGTTTTCATAAACCCATAAGAGATTAGGTTTATGAAGATGTAAATGAGTAGGAGCCCTCAACGTTTTTTCATTCACATAATGTCCATTTTTCTTCAGGGTGCCAGACTGAGTGATGCATCAGTACAGTTAACAGTCGCTCGTTGCCAAAATCAAATGACTGAAAAAAAAAAATAGACTCGATGCTCAGTTTGTGGTAGCAGCTCAAAAATTTGCCATGGATTTTGTATGCCATGTGACTCTTTGCGGTTGGATGGTTGGATTTTCAGAGAGTAGTGATTTGTTAGTGTTCCTCAGAATAAGTCACACGTAGCTTTGTCAAACTGCTCCTCATTGGCAACTATTTTGAAATTGCTCTCAATGTTACAAAGTTTCTACCCTCGCAGGTACCTGTTTACTCTGCCATGGAGACAATTTTTAAATAACGATTCAGTCTTTATATTTTCCAATTAACAGACAGCAGCACGAGCGACAAGGAGAAAGCTGAAACCTCCCCAAGGCGACGATGGAACAACCCGGACCGCATCTCGGATGAGGAGCGAATATTACGGAGCCAGGCCTACGACTATGCCGAGCGGTTCTGCGGTCACTGTAACACCACCACGGACATCAAGGAGGCCAACTTCTTTGGAAGGTAGTTCACCCAGCCCACCCCCTAAATCCACTCCAAATACCTATCCGAAAGTTTGCAGAGTCAAGCAGTGGATTAAACCCTGTTTATTAAATCCAACCTCTGTTGCTGTACACCGAGATTTGTGTTCCAAGATTTGTTCCTGCGGAAACCATCTTCTGTTGCTTTTAATAGTGACTGAGTTGTCGAGCTAGAGAGAGCGCATGAATTAAAGTTGGCATACTCTTGGGGATTTCTAGGAAAATACCTCAGAAGCAGTTTGTTCAAGAATTCCTTCACAGGTTTCAACTATTCCTAGACTTTATTGTGAGTTCTAGAATAGAAGTCATTTTTATCTCTCAAATTATGAAATCAAGTTGCTGTGCTGTTTCAATTCAGCTGCGGCTACGGCTACTACCATTTCCCTTAGACGTGTATATTGTTTAGTAGCCACAGCCAAGTCAGTTCGACACATTTTTGGACTGTTTGATGTAGCAATGGCCAGTTTATCATAGCCGGGTCAGACGACGGCTCGTTTTTCGTCTGGGACCGCAAGACCACCAACATCGTCCGAGTACTACGTGGGGACGAGTCCATCGTCAACTGTCTGCAGCCACATCCCAGCTTCTGTCTGCTGGCCACCAGTGGCATTGACCCGGTCGTTAGGTTATGGGGGCCCAAGGCACAGGTATGGAAATGTTTAGAAATTGTTAATACCCGCATCCCCCAGGGAACATTCCATCCGTGAGGTTGACATATTGGCATTTTCCTTGAAATAGGTTTTAGGGCATATCAAATCATTTCTTTACTTAGGCAGTTTGGTATCAGTAGACAAATTGTTGCACTGGCAAAAAAAGGTTAAAACAATCCTGTTTTCTTGAAGTAGGAAAACTCATTTTTAACATATTTAACCCTCCTTTGGTTTTTACAACACAAATATGCACTAGTGCCCACAGTCTCTCTCTTACATGTGTTTTCTACATAGACCACAAACATGCACAGGATCAGTGTGTACACAGTTGGTTGCCAGCACAAAATGACCCAGGGTCTTTTGTGCAGTCCTCTTCACTGCATTTGGTTTACTGCACAATGATTCACATGAAACAGTGAAGCACAGTTGGTGGGCAGCACAAAAGTGCAATCTGATATTCCTGTGAGGGACTGTTGGTGCAGTGCACAACAGGACACAGCTAAGCTTCTTTGAGGTGTTTACCAAGTGACCAAAGAGTGACTTCTGCATAGGAGGGTTAAGCAAGATGATGTGTAAATATGCAGGGAGTTTCTGGAGCTGCAACACGAAGGACATTTAACCCCTTATTTTGACTGTGACTGCTGGGCTGTGGCATGCCCTGAATGGAGGGCTTTGTCCAGCAGCAGGCCCCATTGAACCAGCAGCTGCATGGTGAATAGACTGTATGTGTGGTATGCACTAATCCTCACACAACGGTGCCGTAGTAGCAGTCCTCCATAGCTAAGGGGTTAAGTACCTTCTAGGGAATTCCCTATGCATTGCGGTATAATGTCTGCACTCTTCCCTGTGTTTGAGTAATTCTGGCTGGGTTTGTACACAGGTACACGGGCTCAGGCTAGCCCATCAGGGTTGAGCATGTCATGAGCCCTCAAGCTACCTCGGGCCACGGATGGGTTCTGTAGCGAATGCCACTCTGTGACATCGTCTGGGTGTAAAAAGAAAAAAAGGAGTGATGACGGAAGAAGTGTCGCACAGATCTTGAGCAAATGACATCCAAGGCTCGGCATTTTTAGAGTCCAACTTTGTGGTTGTGGTATCATATAAAGAGTGGGTATTTTTAGCCGAAAATACCCTCTGCAAATGGTCCAAGGAGCGTCAACTTTTGTAATGTTGAGTCTTTGTGGTTTTTTTTCACCTGTCGCAGGACGGGAAAGCTGAAGAGCGCTGCATCAGGGAGCCCGACACGGCGGCCACGGCCAACCAGCGGCGCATGAACGCCGACCCCTTGGAGGTCATGCTGATGAACATGGGCTACCGCATCACGGGGATGTCGGATGGATCGGACGACGAAGGAGGAGACGGGCCAGTCCAGTGCAACACCAGCTGAGGGGGACGGAGAGGGCCGTGTCCGAATCGAGTGACCACGGCTTGGAATCACGAGCCTGTAACTTTCATTGGCAGGTGTCTTGAACCTTTCCTGCCGGAGCTAAGTACATCGGACGTGGCCAAAGAACTTGTACGATACTCAAAGACAAGAGACATGATGCTGGATTGTGTCAATGGAGACCCGACCAAAACATTCCTGATCTACATGATTGCATATGGGACGATCCCTGCTGTCCGTCGTGGCCATCTTAGTTTTATGTCCAGGAGCCAACATAACCTGGGCGTTGTGATTTCTCGAACACCGATACTAACCACCAGCCTTAGATTCTTACCACTTGCACTCTGTCTCCTGGTACTGAAATCACAGAGACATTCAACCGAAGAAAATGTGCTTAGCAAGTGTAATTGCTTAGCAAACAAAAACAAAACAGCAGGGGTAATCACTAGTTTTTCTAGGCAAACAGTTTTGTGTCAGGGAGCAAGAATACACATCAGTAGCCCTATGTACTGGCTCGTCTTGATATGTCTCAGTGTAGAGTTTAGTCTTTAAAATGGGGGTCTTGTTCCCAGACTTCAAGAGAGTGACAGCGCACAAAGGTGTACAGCTTTGTGTTAAAAGCCCCTGCTTTCAGTCTTGTGGGGCTTTAATACTGAAATTGGTGTTGTTTTCAGTGGCTGAGGCTTTTCTCTGCACTGCGTTTATGGGCAAAAAAGCCAAGACTCAGCCATAGGGTGCGCAATTTGGACAGTTACTATATTTGACTATATTCAATGGTTTGGGGTTCTTTTGCCACAACAGACTGCTCTTGAGTAAGAAAATTTGAAAGTTTCTGAAGTTGAACTGAACTGTTTCCCAGAATGTAACTATGTAACAAAAAAAATCCCTAGAAAATCTCATTTGCTAAATTTGGGAGAAAAACTCCTGGATTACCATGGCTTCCTGACAGTTGTATAAATTAGAAGCACATGTAAAATCTGTGCTAGAATTCGACTATTCCAGACGAGAATTTTGTGTACAAAGAAAAAAATCAACAAAAAAACTTTTGTATACAATTACCAAGTGTTGTGGCGTCTTTTCACATTTTTAAATTTGTCACGTTCCTTTGCTTTTTTGAACATGTGAAATCAGCCAGTGACAATTTGTATCCCCAAACCAACCAACCAACCAACAAATACACCAGCAAACAAACAAAAGTGGTACGAGTTAACGTGAAGCAAAAACAGGTTTGTTTCATCGGGCATTTGAGGGTGATTTTTAGACTACAAAATGAAAAAATCACCTCGTTGAACCAAAGTTCAACATTGAAGATTTATAATTGTCCTAGTGAGTTACTATTAACCTTAACAGATTTGCTTCAGTTATAGCAATTGAAATGATAGATTTTATGCTGCATATGTTTTTTTCTTTTAAATCGGAGCACTGAGTGCTCTTTGAAAGTAGCCCAAATGGATGGTTTGGGCTACAAAAGGTGTCCCAAAAGATTCCCCATGCCTGGCTCAGTGTTGGGAGCATGACAACCAGGCAGTGTGTAAGACAGAAATGAGCGGAGTGCCAGTCCTGTGCAGTATGTATTGCATGACTTTTTGGGGGCCTGTGATCCATTTTTGCTTGGCATATATTTTCTGTGCAGGGCACGAAACCAGTTCCCACACCGAGAAACAAAATCTTTTTTTCTTTCATTCTTTCTCGTTTCGTTTTTTTTTTCATTTTTAAAAGAATTCTTGTGTTTAGTGTCGTTTATTTTTTGCTTGGTGGTAATTGTAGTTCAGGGAGACTTAGTTTAAAATCTTTGAAGTAAGTTTCATTATGTGTTCATCAAATGTCGTAAACCGATATTTATTTGAATTACAAATCCATCTTTTGTTTGCGGCCTGTTTGAAATAATCACAGCCTTTGCATAACATTAAGTATTTGTAAATTCGGCTGCAAATGGAAGGAGTCCTGTGTGGTCCAAGTGTTAAAAAAAAATTCAGATTTTCCCCCCAAAAGTCATCTGTTTAAAAGCCGCCTGAAAAAATTTATTTTCAACTGAGTTTAATATCAACATGCCACAGAACTGATGTAAGTTTCTGACATTAATTATGAATTTGTAAGTCAACATCTTCCAACTGCGTAGGGCAAAAGCAGTAACCCATTAACCCATTTTAGGGGAAAATTGGTATCAAATCTGGGACATTATAAAGCCCTTATTGTACACTTTCCATCCTTGCTTTTAGTTCTTTTAAAGTTTTAATATGTACTTTATTTGTTCCATGCCATTTTTTTTCTAAATCAAAATGACATTAATTTCAGTACAATTATGAAATGAGTGATAAGTGAGTTGCTGTTAAAGTTGACTATTTTGTGCAAAATAGTGAGAAGAGAGGTCGATCTGTTTTGAATTAATAAGCCTTTTGCGAGTTAAAATCTGGTACACTCAGTATCTGATTGCACATAAACATAACAGTTTGAATTCTCCAGACTATAAGACACTGTTGCTGTACTTCGTGATTCGGGGCAAGCCTTTGCATAGCGACCACCATCTCTGGAATAGACTGGTTCCTTTGTGTCCTTCTTATCCACTGAGAACAGTGTATTGTTGCAAGGAGTCTCTATGTAACGAAGCAAAAGCTTGCCCAGAATCACGAGATATTGCAATAGTGTCCTTAATGTGGAGAATTCAGATTATGTTGACTTGATTTTAAAGAACTCAGTGTACCTGATTTTATTCAAATTTAACTTGTAAATGCTTATTATACATTAACAGGCATTGGTTGGGGTGTGGTAGGGGTGGGTAATCTTCACAAAACTAGTAAATTTCATTTTTATACTAGTTCAATAATGCAGTATTTATGAAAGAAAAATGCAGTTTAAAGTCATTGCCTCATTGGAGATGGAAATTGTGTCTTGAACAGCTGTAAGGCTTGCAAAATGAATTAAAAAATGACACAATTAAACTTACCTGTTGGTTAATTATAGGGAATTAGTGTGTCACCCATCAAGGCAAGTATAAAGTTCAACTCCTATTTGTCAGGGTTTCGGGAAAATACTGAAATTTAATGAAGGATTCAACACTTCTGGTGAAGATGACAAAATATAAAATTCGACACAATGTATATTAGCTTGTGTTTTTCTTTTATGAGCTTGCGGGAAGGATTTTAAAAAAGGGAACTTCTTTGAGCAATCACAGAAGGAACCAATGAAAAAATTCTTAAGATTTATTTGATAGTGACGCGATCGTGCTTTTTTCAAATTTTGGTTGCAGACGACACCATGAAGACTGTTAAGTGGCTGTAGCGCCCTCATGCTTGAGCATGGTGACGATCTTTCCAGGTTATCGTACTCCGTTCAAGTGATGCTGGGTACCGCGCGGTCTACAAATTGTAAACATGGCTGCCCGCTTGATTTTACAAAGTGACTGGAACGAATCGCTTTGGTAATGCCAGATTTTTTGTGAATTAAACCTCAACAGTCTATGTTTTCTTTGTAGTTTTTAAAAAATAACCACACTCATGCCTACGACTGACATAAATTCCATTATGATGTATTCTTTTTCAGGCAAAACGAAGGCCAAGCGTGGGTACTTTGCAAGACTCTCGGTAGGCCAGGCCAAAATTATGATGAATCATTCATCCATCCATGCTTTTCTTTCGTGATTAATTTTGAAACTAAATCATTTATTTCCCATTTAGTATATGTATCTGAATTTAGTTGCAACGCTAGACATGATAAAACTTGTATACTTTAGTAATATTGTATAATTTACTGATATGGGTAATTTATTTGGGAAGGTTAAAGAGTTCCATGCCGACGCCCTGTGCGCAAACCCTTTGACTTTATCATGAGCCTAATTTGACGAGTGTTTATTAGCCTAATTGATTCAATATTTTCACCGGCAAATTTGACTTTTTAGGGCCATGGTATCACTTTCTGATGGCTTATCAACAACTGCAAGGGACAATAAGTGATGTCAGTATATGGAAATCTTTATTGTTTGCCATGAAGTGGTCTCATGTTGGTTTCATTATTGTAGACGTAGACCATGTAGGCCTAGCTTATCTGGAAATATCGAGCACAATAATTTTATAAACAAGTGTAATTTAATAACCAGAATTAGAAGCCATTACTCTGTTGGTGCAACGGGGTGTCATGATTTTTTTCCCGAAACAGGTGAGGGCAGCACCAGCATTCAAGGCGAGTTGAAGTCGCAGGGATTGGACAACAAAGGCATCCCACAAGTGGTTGCGTCCGAGGGCTTCAGAGTTCTGGATATCACGCGAGTACGACCTCTCTGAATTCATACAAATTTTTTGTCACCATGACTACCCACATCTGCTAGAGAACATATTTGTTGTAGTATTGCGACATTCAGACTAAGAAAAAACCATAAAACATGCTCTTCAGAGGAATTTTTTTCTTTCTTTTCAGAGAACGATAACCATTTCTTACCCGGAGAAAGATGTGAAAGCAAAATTTCAGGCTAAAAGTGGTGCATTTAGGAATATCCACGACAGGGGAGTAAGTATGAATGAATTTAAAATCAAGCGAATTACAAATGGAACCCCCCCATTATCACATAAAAAGAAAAATTGCCAAATGAGCAGATTTGTGCGTCATCACATGTTCAGTAATTATACATTTCTTCTGTAAATTGTTTATAGATTGTCAGTCTTGACATCTCCTCTGGTGGTGCACTGGGCGTGTCGTCCGATTCAAACGACGCCTTGAGGGTGTGGCAGACATCGGATGGAACGGTGCGGGTGAGTAGCGACCCATTCATTTATTTTTATGGTATTTGTAAACACCTGATACAGTTCAGCCATTCCTATTGGTTGAAAACCTGTCACATGGCCAGTCTTAAACAGTTGATAAAGCACTGTCTGGCTGAGTACACACCACTCTCCATATGAGATTGTTAACAACTGGCAAGAGGAACATACCATAACGTGGCTAGAGGGGTGGTTGAAAGAGAGTAAGAAATCCCCATATCAATATGTTAAGGACACTAGTCGACTCACTTAGTACTTGAAAATTCAATCCACATGCTGGCCGGGGTTGGGGTCAGGGTTGAACATAGGTCTAATAGTCAAGTCAACAAATGTACCTGCTTTTCCAGCGTCATTTTTGAATGCAGTGATTGATGCTTGCATACCCCAGGTACTTTTTGACCACTCATTTTATTCAACTAGGAGATGCTCAGTGCAGAATCTGAAGATGCAGCAATTTGTCTATTTTGTGCAACAGTTTGAATTGTTCAACTAAAGAGAAGGCTCTCGGTAACACCATTTGGATAGATCTCTTTTGAAAGAGATCTGGTTCTGTTAAGAACCGTTGAGTGTGAACTCGACATTTTGACCAGTGTGCTCTGGTGGTCCTCAGGAGTGGTGTGTCAGACTTCAGTTGAGCACTGGTATATCAGAACCATACCTCCTCCAAAAGAGATCTCACCACATGGTGTTAAAGCGAGCCCTCTCTTTAGTCAATCTCCACTGTACAAAGGTATATTAAAGTATTATCAGTTAAATTGTTTGTGGCCCTCTGTGTTTCAGAGAGAGCTTAAGGGTCATTTTGGTGAGGTCATCACCTGCCGATTCTTCCCATCCGGCATCGTGGTGCTGACCGGCGGCCTGGACAGACAGATCAAGATATGGTCAGCCGAGGATGGCAGCTGCCCAGTCACCATCCGGGGCCACTCAGGCGGCGTTTCCTGCACGGCCATCGTGGACAGGGGCCGCAACATCATCACAGGTTCCCGTGACGGCACTGCCCGGCTGTGGAACTGCGGCAACTCCAAGTGCCTGGCGACGGTTCACACCGTTAAGGGCTTCATCAACGCCTGCGCCGTCAGTGGAGTCAGCGACTCCATCGACCTGGGCAAGCCAGTAAAACCGCCAGGTGAGGTAGAAAACTAAACTTTCTGCAATCTCTCAGGATTAGGAATTTTGAGCAAAATCAATCAAGATTTCAAACCTGGATTGAAATTGTAATTGGCGAACCATTTTGTCTTATTACTGCAGCGGAGGAGGAGGTTGGAACAGCGGGGAAGTTGTTGCTATTAGCAACCGAGAGTGGGGATCTGATTGGTGTAGGACTCCACAGCAGGAAGAAGGTGGGTACTTTATATTTAGGCAGACTTGGGTACAGAAAAACTAGCCAGATATTCAAAGGATGCACAAATGACAGAGACACTGAACTGCACTATCTGTTGTTATCATCACAGGAGTTCAGATTTTGGGTCAGTGTTGGAAGTCGTAATTCTTGAAAACGGCTTCTTGTTAGTTTCTATATTGAGGCAGGCTACTGCCTTAGGTTTGCATTTTGAGATTTTCTGGGCTTTTTTTGAAATCTAGTCGTCAGCTAGTCGGAGGAACCGGCCAACTCAATCCCACGTGTCGCTCACTGTTAGAGACTCAAATTTGTTCAGAGCCTCAGATTAAATGGCAGTGATCCGTAGAGTCAGCCCCTCGTTCAGAAGAGTGAAATACGGAGAAACTTAAATCCACCAGTAGCAAAATGCCCGTGTACCTGTCACTGTAAGGCCCTCTCTGACATACCCAGATGGTGCGATCCAAATGTGGTCCATGTTTTTGGAACACAAATATAGCAGTGTCAGCCAGCTGGCCAGCACTTTAAGGTCCAAGGATTAGCGTTCTCTTGCAGTTAGCCGGGGGGGGGGGATATACTTGATACATACATAGACCCCCTTTGATTGTATCAGTCAGGTGATTGAGTCAGATCAGTCAGATCTGCTATCAAAGGGGTGCGACTGATGTTTTGTTGTGGGGGTGTAGCAATGAGCAACTTCTTTGTGTAATCCTTATCAACGGTGGCGGCAGAGTGGTTTTTCAAAGTGGAGGGGGATGGTAGTTGTGAGACAATCCATCGTTATTGGACCTGCCAAAGCCCCTTCCAGTGAAAAAGTGCTTGCCCCTCTTTATCAATGTTTTGAATCATAAGATATGAAATTGTATCAAAACATGCCTTTCTGTCTGAAATGTGACCCACCATCCCCAAACTAGGCTGGAGTCGGTATTTGTGATGCTGGACAATTCCTCGCCTTCAGCTTTTTTTTTTACACTTTAACCAATTCCTGCCGGGGACTCTGGAATCGGACAAAGGAAACAGGGCCTTGTTACAAAAGACCGTACTCCGAACAAAAGACCAGGCTGCTGGGAATTATTGACATTTNGGGGACAAAAGCACTCCACCACCGCAGCGATGAGCCACACAGCACCACTGCATACTAATCTGGCCCCTATTAAAAAGAGGTCAGCAGTGCACTGAGCCAGGTTCGTGAACAAAAGAAAGTTACATAACACCGCACAATCTGGGCTCTTTTTACAAGGCTGCAGGCCTGTCTGAAATACTTGGGCGTCAATGAAGGTCACCTGTCAACTTGGAGTAGTGCCTAAAGATTACTTCGTGCGGCTATAAACGACCATTGAATGAAATGATTAATTTTTGAAGGATTTCGAAAAACGGAAAAAATGATGGTCATGCCGGCACATTCAACATTGAAAAATGCCCTGGCATGAAGTGGTTAAAGTGATCCATGTTAAATCGAAATTCTGTCTGCAGTGAGCTTCTTATGGGTAGTGATAGCTATCACTCCCATGAAAATCTGACCAGAGGAAGTTCCACTATTTGAGGGTTATGAAGTTACCTACTTCAGCCTGATTTGGGGATGGTGGGTCACAAATTATAAGAAAAAGTCCTCTTCTTGTAGGGGGGAGGGTAAGGCTTCCTCCCCCCCTTTTTTTGGCAGTGGATGATTGCGGGGAATTTGACATTTGGACAGGTTGGCCGAAGAGCCACCTTGGGACACCTGGTTAGTCATGCTGTCGCAGACTCCAACGGATGTGTGTTTTAGTCCTTTGACCCCCCTCCCTCAAGCCCTCCTTTGCCCCACCCCTCCACTTGGTAACAGATTTCACAATACCGACGGGTAGCGCTCGGCGCATGTGTCAAAGCCAGCAGGTGTGCCTGCCTCCACACACTTGTTGCTGTCATTTACCAGTCCCCCCTCTGGGAAAGGTCGCAGATGTTGCAGTGTTAATCCGTCATACTCGCATGTTGCCTGTCAACCTCCTTCCCACTTTTTTTCCTGAGATAGCTTTTTGGCTTTAGGGCCAAGAACGGAAGTCATTCGTTGGCAGCAGGTTGCAATGTTTATGAGGACGATGCCCTGGGTGGCTTGAGAGACTAAATCCACCAAATCCGGTGCGAAATCGATACTAAGTGGGAATTTAAGTGATATTTTTGAGTAGCTTCACAAAACCTTCGGAATGAGCATGCCACATTGAACATGAACAAAAGCTAACTGATGGATTTCACAAAACAGTTGTGACCAGATCCCACAAAATGAGTCTTAACCACATCCTGCCGGGGGGGGGGCATTTATAAATGTTGATACTGCTGGGCCGGAGTATTTTTCATTTTTTTCTGGTTTCAAAATTCTTTTAGAATTCGTATCTTCATTCACTAGACACTTACACCCACACGAAGGACTGTCTTATTTCTACTCTAATCTGACAGACAACATCTATTGATGCTGGAGTATTTCAGCCAGGCCTGCCGCCTTGTAAAAAAGAGCCCAGATTGTGCGGTGTTACGTAATTTTCCTTTGTTCCCAAAACTGGCTCAGTGTGCTGCTGACCTCTTTTCAATAGGGGCCAGATTATTGTGCAGCAGTATTGTGTGGCACATCCCTGCTGTGGTGGAGTGCTTTTGTCCCCGGTTGTAATCCGCTCGCACTGAATGCCCCAAACAGTGGTATACTGTTTCAAAAAAATGCTGGATTATCTCCACTATTGAGAGTGAAAAAATGTTGGCCACAACTGTTAGCACATTTGATTACATCCCCAATGCTTACCAGTGTTATCCTTGGAGATTTAGACTGGTATGTATGTCTAATTTTATAGCCCCACGTTACAACACTGAACATTACAGGTGCTCAACAACACCCACATTGACTAAAATTTGAAGTTCATTATTCTGTCCAAAATTTTTATTGATTTTGTTATTATTTTTAGTGTTTTAAATGAAATGTGTAATTTTTGTAAATTTAAATGGTTTTGGTCCTAGCACCATTTTATTCAAATATTTGATGTTAATAAACCAGAATATGTAGTAGCAGAGCTGCGGAGTAGTGCCAACTTCAGACGTTGGAACCAAAATGGCTGTTCATTATGCATGCAGTACAGCATGCAGCAATTGTGTGCTTATTGTCCATGTGCCCTAATGCATAATCCACCATTTTGGTTCCAACAATCGAGACACACATGTCGCATCTCTCTATAAACAGCTCTGTGCAGCCATAAACGAACCCTCTTTGGTTACTCAAAGCCTCCCACTGCGCCAAGCGATGAGTTCATGCAGGATTAAATTTGTAACATGCATTCCAAATGTTGAAAGCCATGAACATCCATACTCACATTTCTGGGCTTTCTTTCAAAGAACTTTCTTGACTTGACCCAAATTGCAACTAAATTCAGCAATTTTTTTTCATCTGAACTGTTTACAAAAGTGACATCACCCTTTTGTAACGTGTGGCCAGGCTGCAACATTTGTGCACTGCATTGTGGGATACTTCCCCTAGTAACCGGCTCAGTGGGTCAATTACTTGGGCCAGGCCCAAGTATAAAAGCATGAGATGTCACGCAAGTGTCAAATCGAAAGCAGTTACGCTTGCAGGAATACTTGCAGGCAAATAATCAAACAGTCAGTGTGGGATCGTTATTTTCTTTTTTAGATTTTCCAAGTGAAAGGCCCTGCGGCCTTCAACTGTTGCGCGTTCCTGCCCAATGACAGGGTGATCGGCGGATGCCAGGATGGAACCGTTCACATAGTAGACATCAGAAATCACAGGTGAGCTGTCTGGACTCAATCTCTGGAATGGACTGGTTCCTTTGTGCCCTTCTTATCCATCGAGAACTGTGTATTGTTGCAAGCGTCTCTTATGTAACGAAGCAAAAGCTTGCCCCGAATCACGAGGTATAGCAACAGTGGTTTTAGTAAGGAGAATGAAAGTTGTTACGTTCACGTGAATTTAAAGAACTAAGTGTACCAGATTTGGGTCAAAGTTAACTTGCAAAATGCTTATTTGACCTGCTTAACAGCAATAAAGACCTGAAAAACTTGTTGGAAGCCTGGGTCAAAGGTCACCACTTTCGTTACTTCAATCGAAAATTTTCTTGAACAGTTTGGAAAGGTGGTATTTTTTTAAACAAAATTTTCTTTCTTCAAACAGAAAACTGATAAAAATATAAAGTTTCTTACATTCTAGTTGTCACTAGCTTGTGACTTTCTGTGGCTATTTTCTTTGTAACATTGAACTGGGTTAATACCTAAAAAATTGTTTTCCTGTTAATTTTTCCCTAACAGTCAACCCGCCAAAATTCTGCGAAAGACATCCTCTCCCATTCTCTGCATTCAAGCCCACAAGAACGGCTTCATCGCTGGGACAGGTAAGCAACTCCCTATCAAAATATTTCATTTGTCAGGACCCAAACTCTGGCAGTAGCCACATCTGTCCTATTTTGCTTTGGCTTTGTCTGTCGGTATTGATAAGTCACAGTCACTCATCAGAGCCACAGACTGAAATGACCAATTATGACAAGGCCGCCTTTTATATAAACTCTTTTTTGTACCTACTTAATAGTGACATGGATATCAAAATCCATGTTTCCATGTTTTTTACAGCTGGTCCAGATGGAGTTCTGTAGCATTCTTCATACCACGTAATACTGACCCGATCTTTAAATCATGTCTCTTTGATTGACCAAATTTTGGTTCAACTCAAATGAAAGGTGTCTTCGATTTGAGAGAGCGCCCTCTGTTGAATGTATTGGACAGGGCTTTTGAGCCCCAGTATCTAAGAAATGCTTGTTACTGTGCTCAGTGATCTCTAAGTATGTTCATGTACTCGTAGTTACCACTTGACTGCCCGAGACTTCGACGGTTTCTAACATGTTTTGTCTCGCTAATAACTTGCTAAAGCAAAGCTTGCAAGGTCGTGCATTGCTGCCGATGATTCGCTCAGTCGCTGTGACAAGGTGAAATGATATTGGAAAACATTGTTGGTCCGTTTCAGAAACACCCCCCTGCTCACTTGAAATTGATCATGTATACCATTGTGGGGCAGCACCCATTTTTCCGAGACAGGGCAGCCAACAATGTGTACTTTTCCACGGTAGTTCTCATTGCACAAGGGCTGGCAGACGGGCTGGCTGTGAGATGGGCCTAAATAACCTGGCTCTTTTAGTGTCAACGTAACAACCAGAAATCATCTTTTTTTTACAGAAGGGGTACTTTGTACTGTTCACATGTAGCATTGGATCTGTAAAACTGGATTGAACACATGAGACTCAACCTAACCAAATGAGTAATGCGTCATTAAACCACTTTGGGTTTCAGGCCTTTTAAAAGAATCTTGAACAGTGTAGGTCATTAGAAACCCTCATCTATCACCCACTCGATAGCCATTTTGTTGTGAGAATGCCCAGCTGAGAGAAACATCAATACAGAGCTCAGTCTGTCCACTCTATAAGTGTAAATTCAAGCCAAATTAGTGGAGAAAAAAATGGACTCAGTTTGTTGGATCCAGTCAGAAACATGCTTTTTAAAATGGCAGGGATGTGTACGTTGCTTTGAGTGCATACGTAGACGTTGATCGTTACTCAGACCTTGAAATCTAGGCCCGCTAACCCACTTTCTGAGAGCCCCTCATCTGACACGGTTGATACGTTTTCTAGTACTTGTCAACTTCAGTCACATTTTACTTAGATAAAATTAAATCTGTCCATTGACAAGTTGCTTAAAATAACCAAGTGTCAAAACCTGTTTCATTTGAAGCCCCGTCTCCCGTCTCAAGAACAACACATTTGCATGCAGTCATCAGATTGAAAGCGTTCTCTTAAAAACCAACATCCTTCTAAAAAAACATCCGAGTATCATTTTTGACAGCGAAAAAGCAACTTCCCTTCCCCCTCAAAAAAGTCGGTCACTGTTTACCCTGTCCTTGCCCAAGGTTTTCACGGCCCGCCAAGCTGTCATCTTCATTTTGGTACATTTCCCTCCATTTTCGCTGTTAGCTCTTTTGACAGTTTATCTTCTCTCCCTTGCACTCCCCCCCTCCACACTAATAACCGTTCACCTCGTCGATCAAAACCAATTAACTGCAAAACGAGAAGAGAATCCTCCATTCGGAAGCACCACTCATCCCCCCCCCCCATTTCGTACAGTCTTATCCACCATTTAGCCTTGACTGTCATCGCTGAATAGAACACCAGCGCATCGGCGATCATGTTTCATGATTTAGTTTGATTCTCTGGCCCATTTTCCTCCCGATCAATCTTCCTCCCTCAGAAAAAAAGGGCCAGGGGAGTAATCACAAATGATAGTCGGCCTTCGCAACTGTCAGCTCCTATGATTTTAATTTTTTTTTTCTGGCCAGTGTACCGGTATTTTCCCTCCGTCAAATTGTGGAGGTAAAGCTCATGTGTGTTGTTCAGATCGAAACAAACCCACCCTCGATTTCGACCCTCACATCCCTGAAAAAATCCATCCACTTGAGCAGGTGCAGGCGACTCATTACACTAATAGACTGTTTTACTTGCAGAGACACGACCCAACCATGTAAAAAAATTCACTTTGAAATCACCAGCTCTTATTTAGTGGCAACCCTAACAGTCCTCCGTCCCCTCAGTGCTGTAGGGTCACAAGGGAACGCTGAATTCCACCTGCTCAGAAACTGTGCTTTCACCCATGTAATGTCCATACATTAGTCCAGATTACCTGAGAGCAGTATGCCTTAGTATGTGATTCATTTGAGAAAAACCTGAAAAGCTTCATCTTTTCGAGGCTCATTTTGTCTTCAGGGTATTAGCTTTTTGGAGCAGCTGTGTATCGCGCCGTTTCCAAGGCCCCAGTTCTGATCGGAAAGAAAGCGAGTCTCTCTGCCGTGTAGAAACATTTAATCTTCTCATTTTGTGAAACTCTCCCCCTCCCCTCCCCCTTGTGGCCAGTCATCAGCTCTGATTCCACAAGGGTTTCCAGACTTGCTGTTATGATCGCCCAATTACAGTCGCAGTCTTTTTCTACTGGTTAATGCAGTCCCATATGTCAAATAACCTTGAACGAAAACATCCGGTACAATTTCTGCCATTTCAACGACCAAGGCTGTTTATGCCAAAGAAAGGGGAGACCTTTGGAAGTCTGTACACAATTGAATCTCTCATTGTTGGACCCTGCAAGGACAGTTTAGAATCTCATTCGGCAAAAAATAAATTGAAGGAAACAATCTGATTTTTTTTGGGGGGGGGGGCTCATGGGACAAAACACAGACAAAATGCGCAAAACGTGAAAGGGAAGGAGCGTCCGTAAAAGCAGCAGCCAGGATCGAATTTCTCGCTCTATTCAGACTTCCGTTCAAGGTTAGCCGCAGCAAACCCTGTTAATGTTTGGGGGCAGATCTTGCAATTCCAAATTCACTCTACGGTCGATTGTTCTTGCTCCTTGATTGAAATGTACATTCATTTCCTCCACTCTCAATTATCCGGTAATGTCAAAAAGAGCGTGTGTGTCGCTTGAGAGAGAAAAAATGTACAGCGCATAAAAGCAAGGCCACATGAAGTCAAGGATATCGAAAAATGCCTTTCAATAATTCATCGCTCAGTATCATCATAAAACGACAGAAGACATTTTGAAAAGCAAATTGGAGAGAGATAAATTATACTGGTTGAGAATAATTTCCACGTCTTGCCCAAGCATTTGGTTTAGAATAAAATTTACACAAATTCACTGCCGTAGTTTCCACAGGGAAGGTCAACAGTCCCACGTAATGGAACAGAGTGCTCATGTCATTTTTTAACCCTAACCCCCAAGGGTTGCTGGCCCTAACCTTCCCGGTTCACACAAAGTTAAACACCCGTATGGGACTTTGTGCACAGAGGCTGTTCGACTTTGTTTTTCTGAGGTATGCCAAACCCAATGCAAAAGCCAGCTGTTATGGGCTTACCAGGCCTATCCCCATAGAATGAAACACTTTACTACTGTTTAATTCTGTGTGGTTGGGGAAGGTTAGGGTTAATAGTTCCAAGTGATTCTAGCCAAAAAAGTAAGGACCTTGATTTAGTTCCCTCCCTCCTCCCAAAAACTGAACATCAACTGAGAAGTGTGATACAAATACATATTTTGTCACACGCATTTGGGAATAGACTTTGGTTCTTACAGTTCATCGGTCTGTGT